TTCGACTCCTCCACGGCTGTAATCGCGTGCGACTCATTTACGAAAATTCGCTACACCGAGCTAAAAATCTTATGATTTACGATTCAAATCTTACGATCCAATTTATTCATACCTATGTCGATTCAAATGTTCAAATAAATCTTAAATATCAACAAATCGATCAAATTTTACGATTTACGATTTAAGAAAACTTTAATTTATTAAATTATTTATAATGAACTTGGGATAAATCAGTATCATGCATTGCAACAATGAGTCCCGCAATGATCATGTACGGACATTCTATCCTTTACATATCATACGATTTAAGAAAACCTTAATTTATTAAATTATTTATAATGAACTTGGGATAAATCAGTATCATGCATTGCAACAATGAGTCCCGCAATGATCATGTACGGACATTCTATCCTTTACATATCATAAAATACTAACTTGTATAACATCAGCTCTATATCATTAATAAATTTAATTGTTGGTCTTTTACCTTGTTACATATCAATCTTATCTCTTATTTCATAGCCCGTCTCACAATATACAATGCTTTGTTTTAATGTGATCCTTATATTCATTCTTCTAATATTAATCAGGAAATGGGAGAAACTTCGACGTAGCATCTCGTTATCCCCTTCAAACTCACGCTTACATAAAAAAACACATTTTACAGCGCATTGCGCGGTGCTCTAACCTAGTATATAGAGGTATATATATATATATATATATATATATATATATATATATATATATATATATATATATATATGGCCCGAAGACCGACCCGCCCCGTTGACCATGGACCCGGACTCGACCAAGCTCGGGTCGGTTTCGGGTCCCCAATTCCAGGACCCGAGACCCGTGGGACCCGGCCCGAGGACCCGACCCAGGACCCGGGTCTTAAACCGGTTTTTTTTTGTACAAAAAATGCACATGAGGGGGTTCGAAAAATGCACATTAGGGTAAATTACAAACACCCCCCTGAGGTATGGTCAAATTACAAAAAAACCCCTCTTGTTTGGATAATTACATCTACCCCCCTCAATTATGATTTTTTCTTACACCTCCACCCTTATCATGCCAAATTCAACATAATCATCTAGATTCCGTGAAATGTGCTCTAGTTTGTATTCGTTTTGTGTAAAAATACAGTTTCCGATGCACCACAAACTGATATATACAAGTTAAAAATCACATATTATGATCATCTTGCTTCATAATGTAGAGTTTGAATGGGATAAAACGGGTACAAAAGTGATAATATTCCATATAATCTCGAAGATTCCACTAAATTTGAGGAGTTGAGGGGGTGGTTGTAATTATCCAAACAAGATGGGTGTTTTTGTAATTTGACCATACCTCAGGGGGGTGTTTGTAATTTACCCATATATATAATATAAAACGCTGGTGTAAAATGATAAATATGTTAAATAAAATATTAATTTTCATATTAATTGTTATTAATAATTTTAATTAAATTATTAACAAATGCAATATAAGAAACTTTTAAAAAATATATAGAATCACGATTCAATACTTCAAAACATCTATTATTAATTATCATATCAATATAATCTCCGCTATTGAAAAATATAAAGTATTGAATCAATTCAATATATAAACAAACGGGTTGACTTAATACAAACTCACTTATGTTATTAAAATCGATAGTGTGAAAAATTCGATTGAAAAATAAAATAAGATGTTTATTGAAAAAATATGATATAACTCCTTTCAATTAATTTAAATAGATTAACCTCAATTGTTGACAAGAATTATTAAAATTATTGATTATTTTATCATAAGATAATTATTTAAAAATATAGATGATGTTTATTTTAACAAAAATAGATTATATCTCATGCCAATTAATTTCTTACTTTAAAAATAAAACTACATATGACGAGTATAATCAAAATATTATGATGTGATTTCTGTTTTAATAATTGGTTTAGTTTGTAAAAATCGTAAGAATTAAATCGTAGATCATATGATTTAATCTTTTTTTTTAGATTTACATTTTATTCAAATATTTGAATCGAATCGTAAGATTTAAATGGATTAAGCTCAAGTCCATTCATTTTTTTTTTATTTTTTTATTATATTATATTTGTTCATAATTTAATTTAATTATTTAATAATAATGAATATGATAATTAATAATCTATTTAACATTATTTATTATAATCATTTTACACATTTTATTTATGTTATATATATTCCTTGTTATAATAATGCTAACTATAAATATATAAATCTAAATAGCACTATCAAATGATAATAATAATTGTATACCTAATGTTTTATAAATTATTAATTGTCATGTTGACTATTATTATTTATTAATATCAAAAATCTCGACTAATAACAAATGCATATATTTTTAATTTTGAAAAATATAAAAATACTATTTAATATAAAAGAAAGATTGAATATTGATTTTTTTTGAATTTTGAAATTTAGAAAAAGTTCTCAATTATTATTTTCACTTATAAATACCCATAATCCAATCTTCACAACTTTCATTTTATTTAGTTTATGTCTCAAGGTCTTAATCGTTTTATTTTTTTCTAAAATTGTTTAATGTTTAAATTCAATTATTTTTTAAATTTTGAATTTAAAATTAATCTCATGTTTTTTCAAGTTTCAATATAAGTTTTTTTGGTTTAAAAAATAAAAATTGAAAAACCGGGTTGGACCCGCCCCGGACCTGGACCCGCCTCCCCGCGGGTCGGTTTCGGGTCCCCTAAAAGTCCGACCCGGACCCGACCCGCCCCGTGGCCATGTCTATATATATATAGGGGAAATATGCAATACCCCCCTCAAATTGAAAATATTTTGAACTAAACCCAATTGACTATTAGAGACTTTTGCCTACACCCAAGTTTCATTCTTAATTAGTGAGACACCCCTAACCTTACATGATAAGACTAAAGTGCCCTTATGTGATTAGGTTTTTAATAATTTTTTTTGAAAATAATCGAGTTTTAATTTCAAAATTTTAAAACGTGATCTAAGATTTTCGGCGTCGTTTTAATTATTTATTTTCCATATGGTTCTGATACCAAACATCATGCAAAAATCATAACCTACCACACGTGCCTTTTAGCTAACATGTTATATATATATTAATATTTACATTATTAAAAATATAACATATTTATTTATATAAAAAATAAATAAAGAGTAATTGAAAAAGAAAATCAAATAAAAAAAACACAAAAAAAAACAAATCATGTTCCCCAACCTCGTCGCCGCCCTTCGTCGGATGCGTTACATGGAGATTTCCTTTTTTCCTTTTCTCTAGATTTCTCAATTTTTTCTTCTTTTTTTTTTCTTTTTTTTTTCCCAGATTTGTCCACCACCGCCACCGTAGCCACGTCCCCACTCTCTCTGTCATTCACCGTCGTTGTCGTCGCCTCCCCAGGTTTTTTCAATTTTTTTCTTTTTTTTTTCTCTCCAAATCTGAAACAACAGCATCAACGTGACTACTCTGGTTCGAATATGACTATTGTTGATTCACTCGATTAGTGATTTATTTATTTCTCGTGTTCGTTGTTTCTCTCGATTTCTCTCTCTTTACACCACCATCGTCTCCACATAAATTTGTACACAACCATTACCGTCGCCGCTCGTTGCCGCCGCCTCCTCATTCGTTTCCACGTAAGACTCTTTCTCTCTTTTTCGTTATCTTTCTCATTTTTTTTTTATTTTTTTTCCAGATTTGTCCCCCACCACCACCACCGTCGCCGCCTCTCTCACTCTCTTTACTTCACCACCGCCACCATCGCCGTTGTCGTCGACTCCCCATGACTCTCTTTCGTTATTTTTCTATCTTTATGTATTTTTTGAATTTTTTTTTCATAACAGGACTATAGTCATGTTCGAATATGACTATAGTCATATTTATGTATATTTTGAATATGATTGTAGTCATATTCGAATATGACTGTAGTCATATTCGAATAACTAGATTCAAAATTGGTATTTTTTGTGTGAATTTTGATTGGATTGTTTTCGTAAACAATAGGAGAATCTTCTTTGTTTTATATAATTTGGTAAACATGACTATACCACATTATATAATCGAAATTTTTAAGTTGAAAATATAAAAAAATGCAATATAAAGAAAGAATATGTCTATATAGTCACATATAGTCATGTTTAACTATAGTCATATTCGGAGTTGTAAATCCGTCAAGAAAAAAAAATTCAATTTTTTGTTTAAAAATTTTTTTTAAAAAAAATTATTTTTTTTTATTAAAAAAATATTAAAAAATAAAAATAAATGAAAAATGGCTAAAAATCCGAAAATAATAAAAAATAAAAAAAATAAAAAAATTATTTTTTTTGATTTGGTAGCAAATTTTTAGGAATTTGGAAGGAGATTTTTAGGAATTTGGAAGGAGATTTTTAGGAATTAGATTATTGTTATGGAAAGAGAGAACAAAGGAATAATTTAGACTAATTATGCTAATTGACATAAGGGTACAATTGGGAATACAAATTCTAGGGGGCTATCACAAAGAAAAATTGAAGGGGTGGACATATCACCATTTATTATCTATATGAGGGGTTTATTGCTAATGACCCCATATATATATATATATATATATATATATATATATATATATATATATATATATATATATATATATATATATATATATATATATATATATATATATTGCATTTTGTTTGTGAAAATTAAATATTATTCAATTTTTTATACTTAATATTATAAAAAAAAATAATTACAAATAGTACTTTAAATTTATAATTGTTTTGTAGCCCCTAAACAATGTTAAATTTCATTTTTACCTCTGAAATAGTGTTTTCTGTTAGTTCTAACGTCCATGTGACGGAGTGGACGAAAAGTGTATAAAGTGGAAACATGGAGGTGAATTTTATTCACTTTGAAACACAAGGGGACCAAAAGTGGAATAGTTAAAAGGGTACTTCCGACCTTTCAGACTCCTCCATCCTCTAGGCTGTACCCAAAAGTAAAAACACAGAGGACACCACCACAATTGAAGCAAGCAACAATGCAAATGGCGACGACTGCGTTTCAACTCTCTCTTTCCTCCTCCTTCCTCCCATCTCCACTCCCCACAACCACCACCACCACCACCAGAATGACCGTTACTCAGTCACCCCGCAGGCTGCTTTATATCTCCTCCTCCTCCACCAATTCATCATCGTCGACAACCGTCAATTCTCCCAAGAAAAAGCACTGGAAAGTAGGGGAATATCCTGGCCTCACTCATACCTCCAACCCTAAATTCTCAACCAATAAGAAGAGAACCCCCATTAAGAACATCAAGAAAAAGCTCGACAGAAAGAGTAATGCCAACGCTTGGGTTAATACTGTCACCGAAGCTCTTTCTGATGCCATCGATAAAAAGCAATGGCTCCGGGCTCTTCAGGTTTTACTCTAATCCCCCAACCACTTTTCTTTCATCTTTTCCGTAAATGGTGTGCTGCTGTACTTTTCTTTCTGAGCTTATCGGCTCATGAATTCAAAAGGATGACGAGGGAGTTCTGAATTTGTATTGGATAAGATTCAATGCTTTACTATATATTATATGACATATAATCATCAGTAACTCAAATTGCAAGTATAAGTCTTGACTGCCGAAGACAATGAAAAAAAAAATGGCTTTCTGAACCAGAAATTAATCCATAAACTTATCACCACCCCCATTAAATCTCTATAGGTATTTGAGATGCTAAAGGTGCAACCTTTTTACCACCCAAAAGAAGGGACGTACATGAAGCTACTTGTTCTTCTTGGAAGATCCGGTCAACCTGGACAAGCCTCTCAGCTGTTTGATGAAATGCTTCAAACAGGATTAGAACCAACCCCAGAACTTTACACAGCATTGCTTGCTGCATGTTGCAGGAGCAATCTGATTGATAAAGCTTATGAAGTTCTTGAACAAATGAAGTCTCTCCCTCTTTGCCAGCCTGATGTCTATACCTATAGTATACTGATTAAGGCTTGTGCCGATGCTTGTCGTTTCGAACTGGTTGACTCCCTATATGATGAAATGGCTGAAAGATTAATCACCCCAAATACTGTTACTCAAAATACAGTACTGAGTGGTTATGGAAAGGCGGGGAAATATGAAGAGATGGAGAAGATTCTCTCCAAGATGCTTGAAAGTACGACAAGCGAACCTGATGTATGGACTATGAATACGATTATCGGTTTGTTTGGCAATGCGGGTCAGATTGAAATGATGGAGAAATGGTACGAGAAGTTTCGCAATTTCGGGATCGAGCCGGAAACACGCACATTCAACATTCTGATTGGTGCGTATGGTAAGAAAAGGATGTACGATAAGATGTCATCTGTGATGGAGTACATGCGGAGGCTTTCATTTCCGTGGACAACATCGACCTACAACAATGTGATTGAGGCATTTTCTGATGCCGGTGATGCAAAGCACATGGAGTACACATTTGATCAGATGCGTGCTGAAGGCATTAAGGCGGACACCAAAACATTGTGCTGCCTCATACGAGGTTTTGCCAATGCTGGTCTCTTTCATAAAGTGATTGGCATGGTTCAGTTGGCTGGGAGATTGGAGATACCTGAGAATACCTCATTCTTTAATGCAGTCATATATGCTTGCTCAAGAGCAGATGATTTAATGGAGATGGAAAGAGTGTTCAAGAGAATGAAAGATAAGTCATGTCAGCCAGATTCCACAACTTACTCGGTTATGATGGATGCGTATAGAAAGGAAGGTATGAGTGACAAGGTGTATGACCTGGAGCAAGAAATGCAGAGGATGAATGGTGGTAAGGTATCCAAAGGGTACGATGATGTAGAAACAGAGGCTAATGATGATGTCAGCAAAGAGGTGTTGGTAATGGTATGAGTGTTGGTGGTGTCAATTAATTTCTGGGAAAATTGCTATGAAAAGTTGATGGTGATTGATTATATCATCCAGAGTGGGTAAATCAAATAAAGCCGTGCCGGTCGTAGTGTTAGTGATCGTGGCATGAAGGTAGTTACAAATATCTAATAGCTGTTTGTCTTTGTGTTTCTCCCTTACCGTGATTCTGAATCAATGTTTCTAGCTCCGAGAATGAATTGATATCATACTTGCTGCGGGCTAAAGAATGAATTGATATCATAAACATGCAGTTGTGCTCACATTTTCTGATGTAATTTTGTAGCCGTGTTGTAAATCTTAAAGTTGTTCTAATTTCGTAAGGCATCTATGTTTATGATGTTGTTTAGCACAATTAGTTAAAAGTATAGCTTGACAATGATGGTATTGCCACAGATGATCTAATTAGATCATATGGTTTCATTTTATTTCTTCTTTCTTTCTTTCATTTGGTTATTAGGAGTGTTGTATTGAAGTTTAGGCTGTAAAAAAATAAATTGTTGTATTTCATGCTTTAAGTAAGATGATTGACATGATAAAACAGACTCTGGGACTGGGACTGGGACTCTGCCTCTTCAGGTGTATGATATATGATGCCAATGAGTCGTCATGACCTAAATGTCGAACAAGGGCTAGATGATACCGTACTCTCTTGCTCCATCAACTAGACGACCCTGCCTTAAATGTTCAAATATTTTATTTTGAGCAAGTATAATTGAGAGGAGTTTGGAAATTCAAAACAAACACAAATTTTCAATTTCCCAAAACCAAACATTGTATGTATAACAACTAATTAATTGCATTTAAAAAAAAAAAACTGGAATCAAATTTGAGATGTGAGAGTTATCTCCCTATTTAATATATATATATATATATATATATATATATATATATATATATATATATATATATATATATATATATATATATATATATATACAACTTTGAGTGTGGAATAATATTGGAAAAATACATGTGGGTGGCATGTCATTTGAGTTACACTCCTTTATAATAACTAGAAGGGTGCGCGTGCGTTGCACGCGTCGTATTAATTTTTTTTTCTATCTACCATAATCTATATATGATAGTTATATCGCTATTAGAGTAATATTTTTTGACATTGATAATTATTTGGAATATAATATAATTCAAAATTATTTATTAATTAATAGTAAAGTAAATAAATAATTTCATATGGTTTTGCCTATGTATATTTATGACCCTGTTATTTTCTTATCTTTTCGTTCAATTATTACAATTTTTACTCATCATTGTTGTTATCAAAATTTTGAATGACATTTACTTGCTTCTTAGTTATGTTTTTGGCATTTATTTTATTGGAACACAATATATATTTCATGCATTATTTCTTCCTTATAGTCGAGTGAATTGCGTTTTGCACATCAAAACTGAAACTAATTGACATTTTGTACTCGAAATTTTTAAAATTAACAAAGTTCACCCACAAATTGTATACATCATAGCAGAATGCATGCACCCTACATAATGTTGTGTGAAACTTTAACCAAAAAATCAATATAGCAAGATATTTTAACTTTAAAAAAATATCTTTTCTTGTTTATATTTTATTTTCTACTTCACATTTTTTTAATTATTTTATTTGTATTAAAAATTTCAAAACGCAATTGATGATTTATGTATGTGTTTTATAGTACAGTAAAAATATATATAATTTTAAAAACTTCTTATTTTGATTCAGGTGTAATGTAAAAAATAATTCAAAAATCTTAATTTTCCATAAAGTTACATAATATATTACAAGAAATTAAACCGAAACATGTGGAACATTTGGGGAATAAAAAATCATCGCTGATGAAAGTTAAATAGATTACAACAGAATAAGGCGTCAAACAAAATAGTTTTTTAGCGGTGAAAAATGACCCAATTATCCATTCTAATTTAAACGGTTTTAAATCTATATGTAGAGTTCTAAAAAATATTTCACCTTTTTAGAGATAATTATTTTCAAATTGTTTCAATTTTTTTTATAAATAATGTAGTTAATATATTTAAAATAATATAGAACCTTACGTTTAGAATGCAATGAGATTTTTAATCAACAATTGAATATAAAAAAAAATCGAGTATAGTAAGTAGATGCATACTGCAAAATATAAATAAATAGGTAAATAGATAAATAAATAATGTAATTTTTATTTTTGGAGTATTATATTTTCTTAGAATTAATTTTGAAAATTAAAAAGATAAAAAATATTAAATTGTAATTTCAATTTTAATTAATAAATAAATAAAATATGATAATTAGTTAATTTTTTAATCTATCTTATAAGTATGATAATAATAATAATGTAAAAGTATGAAATTAAAACCAGAGTATACAATAAAACATTAAAATTCCTTCAAAAGTTAAACTATCGCGGTATACTAAATTTTGATTAAAATCTCACAAGAATTTAATGCATGCTGCAGTTTGCTATGAGAAATACCATTTGCTAGTGGACTTTGCAAATTTTGAAGTATTAGGATGCAAGTCGTAGAGTCAATTTTGGGTGTGAAATGCAATTCGCAATTCCCCACTCTCAAATTTTACTATTTTTTTTAATTTTTTTTAATTATTAAAATAGTTATTGATGTTGTTCGTTTTTTTTTTTTTTTTTTTTAATTATTTTTTTGTCCCTGGCCAATTTTCATTATTCGTTAATTCATTTATCTTGAATAATAAATAGAATTTGTTGGATGGTTGTAGACTTAATTTTTATATAGCTCTTTGTCGTATCAGTCTAACCATGCATCATTTGTGTAAAAGACAATGATGAAGATATTTTTTCCCCAGATGTATTACTATTTCTCCATTTATTTAGTTTTAGGTGCATTACCGTTTGATTTTTTTTCTCACTTGTATGAAATACGTTTGTTTATGGGCTATGACATGAGAATTTCCTACGAGCTCATTGTAATTTAATCTTCGTCAATTAGAGTCAATTTTAGGTGCGAAACGCAATTCTTCTTTCACAATTCCTACTCTCAATTTTTTTTATTGAAATAATTATTGATGTTGTTGGTATTTTTTTTTATTTCTTTGTCCCTTGCCAATTTTTATTAGTTGTTAATTCATTTATCTTGAAGATTATGTAATTTGTTGAATACTTGTAGACTGTTTTATCACTTTGACATAGTCTGACAATGTATCATCACTCTAAAAGACGAATAATGAAGAGATTTTTTTCCCAAGTGCAATATTATTTGTTCATTACTTTAGTTTTGGGTGCATTACTCTTTGATCTCCTTTTTTATTTTCACTTGTAGCGTATGAAATACGTTAGCCTATGGACTATGACATGTGAATTTCCTACGAGCTCACTGTTTAATCTTTTCGAGCGGTATTTCACATCAAAATGTCACTCAAATATATTTATATTCTATAATAAAAAGTTTAATAAATTTAAATAATAAAGTCCATAATTAAAATTTAATAAATTTAAATTTAATCCCATAATATTTATTTAAATTTATTAATAAATATTTATAAATATTATTCAAGTTATAAAAATTTACTATATCACAAATAAAAATAAATTGAATAATAATTACCGAATATTTTCTGAATTTCATATGTGTATAGTATTTTTTTCTTTATTCTCTTAAGTTACTATGCATATATATTAAAATTATTGAGAAAGTAAATTATTTTTATCCAAACGACAATATTAACATATGATATTAATATTATAAACAATAGTTTTAATTATTCAGGCCCCAAGTATGAGAAGTAAATAAAAATCAAATTAACATTGAATCTTGATTATTTTGAATTAGTATATTCAAATAAAAGGAAAATGAAATTACATTCTATTTCGTAAAAAAATATTTCTATTTTTTATTTGGCTAGAAAATAAAAAATGAAATAACTTAAATTGACAGATTAAAAAATGGTAAATGAAATTACATTCTATCTTAAATCAAATATTTGTTTTATTTTTTATTTGGCTTAAAAGATCGTAATTAGTTAAGCTTCGAGTTTAATCATGAAATCCATACGTATTATTAAGTACTACATAATTTATATTATGATGATTATTTTTTAGTAAATAAACTCTTCGTATTAATAAATAGACTAAAAAAAATGAACTTCTTTAATGTTTTCTTTGTAGAGAGAGATAAATATAATTTGATGTATTTATTATTTGAATTGTTAGTTACTTAATTGACCAATGTCATTTAGTATTACAATTGAGTAACATAGGGGTATAATAGTCACTAGGGAAGAAACCCCCCCCCTATTCATCCTTTTTTTATATATATAAATATATTAATAATAAAATAATAATAATATAAAATATAATAATATAATATAGATATGTATGTGTAATATATACTATATATATATATATATATATATATATATATATATATATATATATATATATATATATATATATAGGGTTAACTGCAAAAAATCCCCTAAACTTTGGACGTTTTTGCGCTTTACCCCCTGAACGGAAAAAAGTTGCACGGGCATACCTAAACTCCGGTTTTCTTAGCACCGATGTCCAAAATGTCCATTTTTGGCCAAAATTGACCGGAAGTTAAATCACATGCCTACCACGTGACTTTAGTTGGGATAAATTGGTCATTTCCTTTTATACTCAATTTTCTTCCTTTTCTTTTTAATAAATATAAATAAATCTTAAAAATAAAAAAATAAAAAAAGAAGAATAAGTTTCTTCTTCCCGTCACCATCATCCCGGCCAAGCTCTTCCTCTCCCATCGGAATTAAGGACTATAAATCGAAAGCAAATCAATCTTCATCACTTGCACTCGAATCATCACTCGCAGCTAATCTGGGCCGCTTTTTCTCCGTGATGTTAACACTCGAAACCCCAACTCCTGAATTCCTATTATCAACCTTCTTTTTGATAATCAAACACCCTGATGAAGTCTTCTTCTTCAACACACCACCTGATCTTACACTACCTTCCATTTTCACGCACCAACTACATATGAAAAACTCTTTAAATTCCAACTCGTGCCGAAATTCCGACCAAATTCACCTTTACATTACCGATTTTTTTTTTTTAAATTCGACATGGATTCCCAATTGTACAGTCTAGCATTACCAGATCTGAAGCAAAACCAAAAGCCCACCCAAATTCTTATGTAACAAAAAGAATTAACGAAATTTCGCGTCAATCGAAAAGAAAATTAAAAATCGGTGCGCGTTTAATCCGAGATCAAATGACGTCAATTTCCGGCAGACAAATTGCAATGGGAGAAAATTGAAAGTGGTTCGGTGGTGGTGGTGGTGGTGGTGGTGGTGCGTACGGATCAGACTGTGGTGGGGGTTGTCTGATTTGTGTGTGGTGGTGCGTCTGTGACGAAGACGATGATGGGTATTCAATATTCCCCTTTTTTTCTTTTCTTTTCTTTTGTTCTTTCTTTCTTTTTTCCTTTTTTAATTATTTATATTTATTAAAAAAATAAAGAAAATGGGTGTAAAAGGAAAATACTAATTTACCCCAACTATATTCACGTGCTAGGCACGTGATTTGAATTCCGGCCAATTTTGGCCAAAAATGTACATTTTGGACATCGGTGCTAGAAATAATAGAGTTCAGGTATGCTCGTGCAACTTTTTTCCGTTCAGGGGGTAAAGCGCAAAAACGTCCAAAGTTTAGGGGATTTTTTGCAGTTAACCCATATATATATATATAATCCCCCAAAAAGAAAGCAATAGAGGCGAACATATTGCCCCTGCCGTCCGTTTGATTATTAATCAACCCTCCGCCGTCGTATCTCCGGCCAATCTCCGGCTACCATCAGGTACTTGGACTCTTCTCTTTACTGTTTTTCCTTTTGTTCTTTTAGGAATACCGAATACCCATGCTTTGATTTCTTGTAATTATTCGAATAATGAATAATGAATGTTCTGTATGATCTCATCAAGTCTGAAGAATGAATTTCCCAACTGGGCTTTATATATTTATGTTCACGACTTTGAATCTTTTCCAAATTGTTCATCTTAAGATTTATTTATGTTTAAACATGAACCTACATATATAGGCTTTGATGTGGCGTTGAAGGTGTTCGTTCGTTCGCAAATATGATGACATCAGCTGTCAATTTAACAAGTCTCAAACTCATGATACATAATAAAGATTTTAAATCAAGGTTACTTACTGCTCTTTCATTGGGCAAATTGATGCCATTCCACTTGACTTTTTCTGATGTTTATCGGCCTTTTACCAAGTGAGTACCAGCCCCATCTTCATTAGTTATTCCTATTTATTATTTCGATACATAATAACAACAAGTATGGTTAAAAACTTTATAGCAAATTGTATACTAGTAGGAGGATGGCATGGTCTCTTAGAAGTGCAGCTGATGACTCCAGTGGGGGAACGAGTGGGGGAACGAGGCTTATTAGAACTCTCCAAGCTATCCAGTTGAAGACTGTTGCCAGATTAAAGGAGTTGCAAAAAAATCTGCCTGTCAAATTATTCTCTTTCTTGGTGGGATTCTATTGTGCAACTGCTTTTGCCACTGTAATAGGGCAAACTGGTGATTGGGATGTACTGTCTGCTGGTTTGACAGTTGCTGTGGTTGAGGGAATCGGGGCTCTTATGTACAAGGCTTCTCTTCCTTTAGTCGACAACATACGCGACTTTATCATCATTTTCAATTATTGGAAGGCTGGCCTTTCCCTTGGCCTTTTTCTTGATTCCTTCAAGTATTGAAACCTGGTTTTTAGTAGTTGCTTATGCCTTGGTGAATTTTTTTCCCTGGCTTCACAGAGAAACGAGCATTCATTTCCAGGTTTGCCTTTTCTGTTACCCTCAACTTTTTTAAAATAACTTGAAAATGATAATTTTGGTATTTTGATTTTTCAGTTTAATATTATTTTTTCCTTTTTCTTTGAGGCGTATAGCTATCTTTTTTTTTTTTTTGTACTACTGTAAAGTCGATGAACTGATTAGTGATTACAAAATCAATAGTGACAAATTCTCATCAAATATCAGGTACTTGAAATGCTAAAGGAGCAAGTTTTGTCGGTTTCTTGATAAAATGGTTCAAGAGAGAATGGGACCAATTTTTGAGGTGCTCTTGCTTTCTGCACGCTGTGGGATGGATGGATAAAACTTGCCTACATTCCTGAAGAGATATGAAAGCATCTTCCTATTTGCCAGGCTGATGATGTATACATTTCAGTCGCTGATTCTTGTTTTGTACTGCCCTTTGTACCATCATTCTTGGCTTATGTGGGAATGACTAATGAGGGTGAGAAAGATTGATATGATGGAAAATGTTGCTATTGAGGAACCATGGCAGAACCTCGTTCTTGGTAATAATATGCCATTGCTGCTTGTGGAAAGAAGAGGATGGAGAGTTCATGCTTTAAAGCTGGTTTCCCTAGGATTCATTTTTATTAGGACATAAATCAAGATCTTCTGCTGTCGCTGGAAGGGGTTTCTAGACAAATCTACATCTGAAAGCAGAGATGATGACGAAGTTCAACTTCTTTTGAGAAACATATCGTTTACTTGATTCAAATTCAATAGAAATGTTAGGGTGAATTTGACATATGTCCCCTGTAATAATAATACATGTTCGTCGATAGCTTACTTCTGTTGTACTATTCAAACTTTCACTCATCTCCCTTTGTTACATAGTGATTGTGCAGTAAGTAAATATTGGAATTTTCCTCTCACTTATATCCTTTCTTATCTTCTGTATACACAAAGTAACGAACGACCATGCAATTTGACTAGAATTTCTTTTAATTGAAGAACAGATGGAACAATAAGTATAACTAACAACAAATTTTCAAATGGCCATCCTCTGTTCCAACAAGGAAAAGGCGGGAAAAGGGCAAGATACCAATGGCTGATAGCACCGACACGTTCTTTGATTCCCCATCTGCCGTATATAGATGTTGAGGGGTTGTTCGATGCTTGCCTTCCTGTGCCATTACATAACAACACTACAACTTAGAAAAGAAGAAGATGAAGAAGGAAAATGCCCAAGAAAAAAAAAAAAAAAAAAAAAAAAAACATGACAAGTTGAGTACGTACTTCATCTGTAGAACCTTGTAAAGAAGAAACGCCAATCTTATTTCTACTTATAGAGATCACGTTTTGCCCCCACACTGAAAAACCAGTAACTCCATCACTGTAACCTCGGAAAACTGTATGTTCGGCTGTCCCGTTCCTGTGAACATTCACAAACATGTCATCCTCGAGACAAATTAGTTTTTACAAAACCATGATTCCATTAGCTACCTGTTATAAGATTAGGTACAACCTACTAAATTAAATATCTAACTCAAATTCTCATTCCACCCCACGATCTAAGCAAAGACTTTAAATATAAAATAAACTAACTTCAACTGAGCTTGGTCAGAGGAAAGAAATACATCAGCATTAGTCCAGTAGCTCATGGCTTACTCGGGTGTGACAAAAATAAAGTACCTTCTCAAATCCCAAATTCGCAATGTTTTGTCAAGAGAGCTAGAAACAAGCTGATGATCTGCAGCTACAGCTAGCTGCAAGGATTTGAAATTGTATGTGAATCAGTATTTTCTTATGGGAATTGCATCCTAATATTGATTATACCTTCGTCACATATCCATCATGACCTTGCCATGAAGAAATAATTTTTCCACTTCTCATGTCAAAAAGCCTGCAACAACCAGTGCTGGTTGCAGCTGCAATCCAGGACGGAGAGGAAATAGTTTCCTCAGCATGCACTTTGACACAGCTAGACGAGCAAATGGATGATATAAGGGAAGGGAAACCAGAATCAGCAGATTCACTCTTCCAAAGATGAAGTTTCTGACCTTGATTGACATCAATGAATCTAGAGGCCATAGAAGTAATTAAGACACATATAAGCATAAAAAGTATTAAGTCTCATAAATGCTTAATTACCTGAGAGATCCATTTCCAGTACCCACGACAAGTCTATCGTTGAATTCCAGGTAGTCCATGGCACTGTACAAATTCCCATGAAATGGAGTACTAAGCATTCCACTTGTTAATGGATTAAAATGAAGCATGTTGTCTTCATCCCTTTCCACAAAGCGTGTGGAGGTTGAAGAACTCTCAGAAAATACAGAAATCTGTTTTCCAGTTTGTCCGTTCCATATATGTACTGTTCCATCACAAGAAGCTACTCTTCCGGTGGATGCCATAACAAAAATGTCATTTACAACCTGACAACGAAAAGGCAATAACAGATACATAAGAAATGACCACTAGCAAGTTTATGGATTGATATAAAAGCATTCTAGAACAAGCAATTACATCATATGCAAACCAAGAAACATGTTTAGAATCAATCATCACTTCAACTCAATTAAAAAGAACTGCTTTTGATGTCATTGAAACATGTCTCCGGAGAATATAAAACATCAAAATGGATAAACATGCAAAGCGACAGGCATATCATAAGATATATCAGAATATACATTTCTTCAGAAAGACATGAAATACATTTGAGAAGTAAAATCTAATAGAATATTGTCCTGGAACCTTGATATGAAAGAGTTTTAAACAGCAGACTTGGTAGTTTAAAAAATGACCACTTGCAATACTGAAAGTTATTTTAAATGCTTTGCTATAGGTTTTTGAATTTAAGGTTGCTTATTTTCTTGTTAGCTAAAAAAAAGGAAGAAAAAGAAAAATAAAAAGAAAAAGAAAAAAATGAGAAGAAAAAGGTATGAGATGAGAATGCAAACTAAAAAAGTAATTACACAGTATTGCTATCTAACCATTGGGATAACTGAAGCAAACCTCGTCATGCCCATTATAGCTTGATACACAATCAATTCTTGACAAGTCCCACTTCTGAATATTTCCTTTGAATCCTGGTCCCACACCCGCCGTGAATATCGTACACTCATCTTGACAAACAGCAAAAGATCTCAGAGCACCATGATGTGCACGAACAGATTGTATGATTGATGCTCTAATTTTCCATGGAAGTTCATCCTTTGAACCACCAGCACGACCAGAAAAATCTAGCCCATTCCAGCTAGCTGCAGGACTAGGGAACCAATACCAAGGTTCTTGCATTCCTGAACTTGAAATAGCCACATGCCTTTCAACAGGATTCTGATTATACTCGAACTTATTTTTACTTGGGAGGAGGTTTTTGGCGACCTTTTTACCCTGTGATTGAGGTCTTGACCATCCAACCCCATTGAATAAGAGTTTGGAAGGTCTGCTTTCAGATGTTGTGCCCTTGTTGTGAGAGGGTCGTCTGCCACGTATATTATCCGGACCACTTTGAATGGAATCCCCTGCATATTCCCACTGAATAAAAACATGGTAAGAATGGCTGCAAATGTGTAATGTAGAGCTTACAGAAGTAAATTTTCCAAATTAGTCTCTCTTGTAAGCAACAATTACGCTTAAGTTTAAAAATTATATCATTTCTTGTAAAATTTTGAATAAATAGATTACTGGGGGCTTAACAACGTTCTTTCTTATTTGAAGTTGCACAATATTATGGCAATGCCTGCTTGTTTCAATTTAGACTTGTTGTATGTCATGCTTTAAGATTACAAGACCGAAGAAGCCGCACAATATCACAAGAGGAAAAGAGTAACTTTAAGCTTTAATTATAAAGTTACATTATGAAGTACATTTAGATTTTAAATATCTATTCCTAGCCACCTACAAATGCATTTTTGTCACAGGTAGTAAGGTAAAAGAAAAATCCATTGCAGAAAATCCTAATGATCTCAGTCCTATTCTACCAGTTCAACAATGAAGAAATCTTCATATTCCTCGCATGAATCACTGAACTCATTCCTATTTTTTACAATGATTTAATCAGAGAACAACCATGATTAAAATACAAATTTGCAGATACCAATGACCTTTCTAAACAAAAACAACTTAAAATTTGTACCTTCCAGTTATGATGTCGCAGAAGGAATTGCTCAAGAAGCAACCATGTGGGGCAATACTGACGAAGTTTCTCTATTCCAAGCAGAGAAGCAAATTGAGGATACAAAAGTAGCCTGCCAAGACATTAAGTTTTTTATGAGCATCTAATTCTTATGTATGACTAATCACAAAAGGGTTCTAAGAACATCACAATAGGAATAGACTCACACCAATTCCATGCGGCTTCCGATGCAATCTTCCTCACCCACTTTCATTCTACTCACCCCCATGTTTCCAACCAAATTGACAGAGCAAGTATTTTTCTTTTGAGAAAAAGCAAGCTCATCGAATAACTCGTTTAGTTTTGGCAGAACATGCAATGCAGATAGATCTGGGCCAATTTGCAGGCAAACTCTAATAAGACTCTTCGCAGCACACTGGAAAATAAAGTAATTAGTACTAACATTTTTTAGTTATTTGATAATGAGTACACAACCTTAATTTTGCACTAGTGAAATAACAAATTTTCCTGTGGAAGTGGGAAAACTGGTCCGAGTTTGGAGTTTTTGCTCAGTGCCTAAGCCTAAGCTAATACGTATAGAGGTGTATTTTGTGGAAGGGGTGCACATATTTGATCGACAGCGCCTTGATTTTTTTTCTCGATTATGAAATATGATCAATTAGTTGAAAATAATTTAGAGCACTGATATTCATTAATAGCAACTCAATCAAATCCAATCATCACATAATACGAGTTGATATTTCCTACTTAAATGAGAAGAGGAAACAATAGAAAGAACCCCAATTTATGCACTAAGAGACATTAATGTTCTATTATTACTCAACACCAGAGGGGATCAAAAAGCAATGTGGAGAAAACAGAAAAAAAAAAAGGAAAAAAAAAGAAAAGAAAAGAAAAGTTCATGAAGATATTCCAATTTTAAAGAGTACAACCACATTGGTGATAAGGGAAAAGTGAAAAACACCTGTAGCACCCGGAATCCCATATCTTTGAGCATGAGAATCTTAACATATGGGCAAGTCCTGTCCTGCATAAACAACTTATATTTCTTTCACTCTATTGCTTGAGTCTATTATGAAAATATTTGGTCAAAACAAATCTTATACCTCAATCAGCTCCTTGATAATTGTCTCGGTAGTCATTAGAGGAATAAGGCCATCTAATGCTGTCAGACAATCTATCAAGGCCAAAGAACCCCAACTCTGAATGGGTTCAGGTTTATTAACATCTGATACACATATGCCAGAATGGATAACACTATGTAACAATGGTAGAATTTGTTTCATGACAAAATTTTCTCCAAAAAGTCCACCTGAAAATAAAAGTGAAATGACCTTATAAGTTGAAGAAACACTTTTTTGAAAACAATAGAGTTTTGCAACCCTATTTCAGGAGCATACCAATTCTGATCAAGACATCAACTCCATCATTGCATAGCCCTTTCCCAAAAGAGAGCATCAGAGGCAAAATTGTCTGGATAATTAGTAAACATTAGTCTAGTAAATGTATGAGTATTGCATTGGAAATACATTGCAAGCACAGTGACATGTGAGCTTTGAGATCAAATAATATACAACATACTACATACAAAACACGACTAAACCTGATGAACAGTAATTGGTACACCATGCTCTTCGCTGGAGCCAATCAGTAGAACAGAAGCAGCAGCTGAACTCATATGAGGAGCAATGCACAGATTTGAGATTATAAGTGGATGCATTGTCTCAAAGTATGCTTGTTTACCTATCCTGTCCCATATCTCCTGCATAAATGAGCCTTGAAGAAGGGAAACCTTCAAATGTGAATAGCCTGTAGCCTAAAAATGAATCACTTTCGAAATGAGAAACAGCGGAAGAAGAAATGGACTAAAGTCATTCTGAAACAAATTCAACAACATACCTGCAAAATTCTCTCGACAGATGGCACCACAAGTTTCATCACTGCTTCTAACTTCAGACATTTCAGAAGTTCTGTAAGTAGTACATAAGCCCATTCAGTTTCCGAATCCGAGGCAGAACTCACTATAAGAGGTAAGCAATAAGGAGCACAAATTTCAGCGCCAATAGCTCCCATTGTCTTAAGAGCTCCTCGTTTTGCAAATGTTGCAGCATATTGAAGACGTGATTCATCTTTAGCTAGAAGGTGAAATGGGGCTAAAAAGAGGTATGATGACTGGACTGATTTCGTGAAGTATGGAGATTCCAGAAGGCATTTGGCAGAAGGCCTCCTAAAAAATAGAAAAAAGAATCAGGAGAAATTTTAGCTAATAGCTACATATGGTTTGGTACCAATATTCTAGTATTCAGTGCTATTTGTAAAGGATATTGACAGCACTTGCAGAGATCTACGTGAACTTCTTTTACCTGCTCCACTCCTTCTGAATACAGGCTTCAACAACAATTTTGATGTGATTGGGAAGCTCTTGCATTGAATTTGGTAGGACGCCACTTTCCAAGTATGATGCTAACGAATTCAGACCAAAGAGTGGCTTGCCCAGCTGAAGTTCTGCTAAAATACATCCAACAGCAAATATATCGTCTGCACTACTTATGGAGAAAACCTTTGATGAAGATGTTTGCCTCCAAAGCAATAGATCTTGATATCCCATAGAATCATCATCCACCTCAATATTCTGAAGAAGATAACTTGAATCAATAGTTGAGATCCAGTCATAGTTCATTGAAGAGTCAGGTTCTCTAGATGATGCATTCACAGAAGTATCCCTCAAAAGCTCCTTTTCTTGGGATTCATCCTTCAACCAGTCACCAGTGTAAACATTATATTTAGGAGATAAATGCCATGATTTCTCACAGAATGAAGTTGCTTCTTCAAGTTTATCCAATTCATTACTTTCAGTAAGCAGGGGCTTGCCATCAACATCATTCACTTTAATTCGACCACTGTTTTTCTTAGCAATTTGACGTGGAGGGTGAGGTTGATTAAATAGCTGGCATCGTCCCGTTGACCTTGGCATTGTAGAAGTTGCTGCCGGCAACATAACATTCTTAGCAGCGACAGCAGCCTCACCAGACAGTTTGTAGCCAAATGTGATGTCAATCCAATGATGTATTTGGCGTGAAACATGGTTGCTTTCTAAAGCATCTCTATGCAACTTAATGAATTCCTCCGGAGAGCCTGCCCAAGAAGGCACAGCTAAATCAGGCATGCCAGAGTGTAGAGAATAAAATATGTGTGGGTCACAGTAGAACTCCGGAATACACTCATCGGGGGTCCATTGGTATAATCTTTGCATGTTAGAGGGATACTCATTAGGTTCATAAACTGAACGGACGGCTGTTCGTAGAACACTCAAAGGCAACCTCCTGGCTTTATAACTGCAAACGGCCAGTTCAGATAAGCATTCATCAGACACGTGGTGAGGGATTTCAGATGTTGAGTAAGTGAAATCCAACTGTTCATCACCTTTTGCCAAGCGCCACTTGCTCTTGCTTAGATCTCTCCACCCAGAAATGCTATTTTCGTCAGGGTTCACACTGAAATCTATGACCCAAGGCATAACTGCGTAAAATGTATGGTCTCCCCACCGTCTTCCTGCTAATCTGTTTAACATTAGCAGATACTCAAAATTACTCAGCTCTCCTCTCCACCAACTATAAAAACTAGATTGCCAATTCTCAGAATCAGAGAGATTTAAATCAGCATACAGGGCATGAGAGGAACAGCATTCAGAACAGAAACCACCAGTAGAAGGATTATGAAAATTATTACTTGGATTCACCTTGGAGTTCAGCAGTTGTTTCTCACCAATTTGTAACCAACACCAAAACGTTTCGGTCAACATAATGTTGGATGGTCTTAAGTTCCCATGGGCAATACCCAGACCATGCATGTAAGAAAGTCCTGAGAGTAGCTGGTAGATTAAATGTTGTATATGCCAATCAGACTTTATGGCACCAGGGCTATAATGCATGATGTTTTCAAGGGTATATGGTGTCTTTGGCAGCACTAAACTAATTTGGGTAGGTAACTTTAGCATTCCCAAAATGGGACCAACATTTGGATGCCTTACGCAGCCAGGAAAACCATCCTCCGTAAATGATGGCATCCCTACCAAACTAAGAAAGTTTATACCATCTCGCCCTGCAGATTTTCCTTCTATAAGAAAACTTATTGAATGCAGAAGTTGATCTTCAGTTGAGCCAGATGAGAAACGTGAAGCAAGTTCTTCAAATAATTCATAGGATGCATACCCAATCTGAGCAGTTGGAGCTAATGAAGTGATGGACCTTGAGCAAGAAAACCTACTGGAAATTTTACATGTTTCACAACCTAGGAGTGCAGTTCTGGCACCATTCGAGAAATGCCGACATTCAGTTGATGCAGTATCTAAAGTAGAAGTTTTATCACAAGAAATTCCGACACTGACCTCTGCTTGATCTTGTTTTATTCTAGACAAATTTGTGTTCTCTCCGGCACTACTATCACCGTCTTCAAGCGCACAATACTCATCGCTGCAAATAAGAGAACAGTTTCATGTCAGAAGCACTATGTTGATAACCTTAGAAGCAAATTTGGCTCATGAAAAACTTATACTCTAGTAATTTATTTCTTTCCTCTCATGATACTCTTGGGAGCCATGTGTTTGCATTTTCTATTTAGCATATTTTCCATGTTTACCAATTTATGTCACAAAGCATTTATCAAGTCAACAAATAATCAAAAAATGATGTCTGTGTGTGTGTTGCCTTGTAGTAGTCAAATGAACTGTATACGAAAAAACATGAAATGAGATCCATGAAATCAGCTCTTGGCTTCGTCAGTTGGTGATCAAAAAACATAAATAGTAAGGCATCATACATGTATCGGGCCAAGCAATCATCTTTCCTGTACGGGATATAGTTCATCACGAACTGCTGCCGTGAATTTGAGACCTGCATCCAATTAATGAACTTGTTAATACACAAAACACATCACCGTACATATATACATATGTATACGGATAGGAGACCTGAACGAGGGCTTTTGAACCGAAGGGGAGTGGGGATTCGGAGAGGCCATGGACGAAGGTCAGTCTTCCGGAGAAATCACTTTCAATTCGTCGTTCAAGGCACTCGAAGCACATTCTTGGCGCGCTTCCCATTTTCCAAATTTTCCTCTGTCGATTAATTTACCCCTAACAAAATCGAATTAGGTCATTTTCCATCAATTTTCTTTTTCCTCCGGGAAAGAGTTGAACACTTGAACTGTAGCCGGAGTTCCTTCACCCGGGGTGGTAGTGATGGCGGAAAGAAAAATACATAGCCAAACGGCGTCGTTTCTTTATATTTTATTTTGGGCTTTTGGTTTGTTGATTATTATATTTTCGGCCCTCTTGGCAAATTCTGGGCTTTTTGTTTCAGCCTGCTTCACCAGATAAAAGGAAAGGTCAGCCTGTTTCAGCAAATAGTATTCCGTCCAAAACGAAAACCACAGGATAAGAATTAACAAGTAGACAACAGAAACCATGGCGGTACCGGTGCACGACTAAGGGACGGACGCCGGTGAGCTTGACAGTGAGTTTTCTGTACTAGAATCTGCAAGAATTTATGGGCTTTCTTGCATAAATATTTGAATTTCTATTACTGCTTTTTGGCCGACCATGGAGTTAATTGTTCCACCGAAGCAAAACCATCAAGGTTTTTGCTCATTTCATTATGATATACATAAGAAGAAAACCTCGGGACACCGCAAAGATCGAAACTTTCCCTGTTTCAACTCTCCCTCTGTGGAAATACTTGTGGTGAAGAAGCAAGGTTCTAGAAAACAAAGGCGTTCTGGCGTTAAGGTGTTTGCTGTTTCTTTTACTGAAACTTTCTCCACTAATGGTGGGTTAAGGTTGTCAAATGCCGAGAGAATGCCTCATGGGAAAGGTCGGGGTCAGGTTCAAGGGAATTCATCTCATAGTTTCGAGGAATTCGAGAGTAATAACTACCTCCGCCGTTTGGTTAGGAATGGGGAGTTGGAGGAAGGGTTTAAGCATCTCGAAAACATGGTTTACCATGGCGACATTCCAGATATTATACCTTGTACGAGTTTGATTCGTGGGTTTTGTAGAGTGGGGAAGACTAAGAAGGCTACTAGGGTTATGGAAATTCTTGAGGATTCTGGAGCGGTTCCCGATGTTATAACTTACAATGTTCTGATTAGTGGGTATTGCAAGTCGGGTGAGATATATAATGCGTTGAAGGTCTTGGAACGTATGAGTGTTGCCCCTGATGTTGTGACGTACAACACAATTCTGCGTACTCTGTGTGACAGTGGGAAGTTGAAACAAGCCATGGAGGTTCTTGATCAGCAGCTTCAAAAGGAATGCTATCCAGATGTGATTACTTACACTATCCTGATCGAAGCCACGTGCAAGGAAAGTGGCGTTGAACAGGCTATGAAGCTATTGGATGAAATGAGGGACAAAGGTTGTAAGCCAGATGTGGTTACTTATAACGTCCTTATCAATGGCATTTGCAAGGAGGGGAGATTGGATGAAGCAATCATGTTCTTGAATAACATGTCATCGTATGGTTGCCAACCTAATGTAATCACACACAACATTATTCTGCGCAGTATGTGCAGTACTGGGAGGTGGATGGATGCTGAGAAGCTGTTGGCTGAGATGCTTAGGAAAGGTTGTTCTCCAAGTGTGGTCACCTTTAATATTTTGATTAACTTCTTGTGTAGGAAGGGATTACTGGGGAGAGCGATTGATATTTTGGAGAAGATGCCTAAACATGGGTGCACCCCAAACTCGTTGAGTTACAATCCACTACTTCATGGATTCTGCAAAGAGAAGAAGATGGATAGGGCGATTGAGTATCTAGAGGTAATGGTTACTCGAGGATGTTATCCAGATATTGTAACGTATAACACGTTGCTCACAGCTCTGTGCAAAGATGGGAAGGTTGATATTGCAGTTGAGATACTTAACCAACTGAGTAGCAAAGGTTGCTCCCCTGTTTTGATCACCTACAATACAGTGATTGACGGGCTTTCTAAAATGGGAAAAACAGAACGTGCTATGCAGTTGTTGTTTGAGATGAGGGAGAGAGGTCTGAGGCCAGATATCATTACGTACTCATCACTTGTTGGAGGACTTAGCAGAGAAGGAAAGGTTGAAGAAGCTATAGATTTCTTTCAAGATTTGGAAGGAATGGGTGTCAGGCCTAATTCTGTGATCTACAATGCTATCATGTTAGGGCTTTGTAAGGCTCGGAAAACAGACCGTGCCATCAATTTCTTGGTCCATATGGTGTCCAAAGGGTGCAAGCCTACTGAATCTACTTACACTATTCTGATTGAAGGCTTAGCTTATGAGGGTTTCACCAAAGAGGCTCTTGAATTGCTCAATGAGCTGTGCTCTCGAGGAGTTGTGAAGAAGAGTTCAGCTGAACAGGTGGTCGTCAAATTTTAGCTTCAATTTGAGTATCTGATAGAATTCTAGTATGTGTTCTAGTATCTGTTATTGCATTATTCACTTGTTTTTTTGTTTTTGTCAAATCATGAATGAACTACTGAGAAAACCTCAATTTTGTAGTTATCTACTGAGTATGAAATTTGTGAATTTTCTTTGTTGCTGAATGTCCATCACGCTCGTTTTTCATTCTTTTTCTTTTCGTTTTATACATATAACAGCATCGTTGCATATGTCATAAAATATTTAGATAATTTTAGACATGCTTGGTTTCAATTATTGAAAATCTTGCAACTGGTTTTACCTTGGGCAGCTCGTTTCAATCATTGCTCGAGTTTTGCCAACTTCACATGGCAAATTGTTTTATTTTGCTTAAATTCCAAAGATTGAAATGAAGCTTGTTATGTGAATGTGATAGCATTCTCTTCACATGATGAAATGTGTGGTAGTTATTGAAATAACTTTGACAATAATGTTTGGTTGCGTTTGTCTCATGGAATTCTCTGAGTGATTGCCTAGTCAAATTATATGAAATCAGGATGAATGGAATTACAAGCGGAGGAATCAGTCAGAAATAAGGTGGTGGTGGTGGTGGTGGTGGTGGTGGTGGTGGTGGTGGTGGTGGTGGTGGTGGTGGTGGTGATACACTGATAGATGACATATAATAAAAGTATCACAAGCAAGAAAGTGCTACCAAGACGAAGAATAAAAACAGTTGTAGCCCCGAAGGAGATGCTGCTGCTAAACTATTTCCTCTGTTGATAGCAATCCCTCCATCTACAAAACATACAAATTATCTCAATTTTCAAATGATGAATAAAACGATATCAAAGGAACAAAAGAAGAGGCATTGTGTGAATGATTTATTACCACAGTCTCTTGTAGCATTGCTCGTCGTTGAACAAACACAGACGAATCCCTGAGTCTCGACATCGAAGCCGCAAGTACCCCCAGATTTTGCACATTTCTCACATCCAAAATCAGGCAAACTATAAGACAGCTTAATCCCGTAAAGCCAGTCCAATGCTCCAATCCCCTCCAATCTATCTACATTGTACACACTCGTGTAATGTGTGCAGTCCAGAATATTCATGCTCATAAACTTCACCGTATCGTATCTCGTGAAGCAGCATGGCGGTGTGGAGTTGGAGAGGATGTGGAATAGCTTGAACGAGCTGCAGCTGCTGTAAAGCTCGTCACACGAGTGACCGGAGAAGTTGAAGCACAACGACCTACATTTTTGTTAACCAGCTACTTGTAATTTTATTTTTATTTTTAATTTTAAAAAAATAAAAAATAAATGCAATATATAAATTGTACGTATAAGACCTGTAGTGGTTGAGGACAGGAGAATCGATGGAGCAATTCATGAGCACGAAAATGGTGTCGGGTGATGGTGGTATAGTGACGGACTGAATGTCGGTCATGAGAAAGTCGTGGTGGGGTTGGAGGATGGAGCAGGTGGACATGGAGGGGTCGAATATTACTAGTGTTTTCTTGTTGTAATCTATGGTTTGAATCTTGTAGCTACCGGAGGGGGTGAGGAAGAAGAGTCCAATGGAGGAGCAGTTTAGCATGTGGCGGAACTGGGCGGCGCCGCAGCCTTCGTCGATGCCAAATGGGTAGTTTATGGGTATGTTGTTGCAGAAATTCCGGCAGAGAGAGGTGGTGGTTGCTGCAAGTAGAAATGTTATCAAGGCTGCAAGATTTAGTTTGACTGCAAGTAATGGTGACGAATTTAGAAGGGTGGTCATATTTTTTTGCCCAGACTTTAGAGTGAGAAGAAGAATTACTACTCAGTTGGTCCTAATATTAACTTTTTTTTTTTTTGAAGTAGAGATGATGATTATAGTTTTTGAATGTGGAAGAAAGGTTCACTGCTTTTGATGAAGGAAGACAAAATTAAAGGTGGGTTTTTTTTTGTCCCAACCGCAATTTGCTCATCAAATGTCTGATTTGCTTTTTTGACTATTGTAAACTACATGAAAAATTGAGTCTTTTTGTCGTCATTATTTTCAATATATATATATATATATAAAATATTAACATGTAAAAATGGGTTGATTTGATGTCATGCGAGGCTTGATTTAAGGAGTAGGAAAAGTGTTTTACTTGCGTTGAACAGAGTTAACTAAGTTTAGAGTGAAGGTGACCGGTGCCTGTTTATTTGCTTTGCTATGTTTATGGTTATATATAAACAATTAGGTTGATGACCTATCATTGAAAATTGAGTTGTTGCAAGTTTGTAGTATTTGGAAACACACAAAAAAAAAAAAAAATCGGTTTAGTTAGTTTAGTTATATGAACAGAATGGTGGAGAGTAGAATATCACGTACGGATAAGACAGAGTTTACAGAATGCTGGAGGACATCATGGAAAACTCCTTACATCATGAGACTGGCCTTATCTGCTGGCATTGGTGGCCTCCTCTTCGGCTATGACACTGGTTATTCTTTTTTATTTCTTCCTGCACTTATAATTCTTCTTTATTTTCAACTAGGATCCAATTCATGTTTATTGGCTACAGGTGTTATCTCGGGTGCCCTCCTGTACATTAGGGAGGATTTCGACTCTGTTGATGAAAAGACATGGCTACAGGTATTATTTCTAATCGTATATATACTAATCATATTTGGAAAGTGATGATGATGATGATGTAATTTGTTGAAGGAAACAATAGTGAGCATGGCAGTAGCAGGTGCGATATTTGGTGCAGCAGCAGGGGGTTGGATGAACGACAGATTTGGACGTAAAAAGTCAATATTGGTAGCGGATATGCTCTTCTTTGTGGGTGCAATAATAATGGCTGTTGCACCAGCACCATGGGTCATCATCGTAGGTAGAATCTTTGTTGGATTCGGTGTTGGAATGGCTTCAATGACAGCTCCTCTTTACATCTCAGAAGCTTCACCTCACAGAATCAGAGGCGCACTTGTCAGCACTAATGGCTTGCTCATCACTGGTGGCCAATTCCTTTCTTATCTCATCAATTTAGCATTCACCAATGTTGCTGGAAACTGGCGTTGGATGCTTGGTGTTGCATCTATTCCTGCACTCGTACAGTTTGTTTTAATGCTGTCCCTGCCCGAGTCTCCCAGATGGCTTTTCAGGAACGTAAGTACTAAACCATTAATTCATTCATTCATTCATTCATTATTAACCTCTTTCCCGATATATATATATATATATATATATATATATATATACACAGGGTAAAGAGGAAGAGGCCAGGTCCATCATGGAGAGAATATACCCGGCCGAAGAAGTGGAAGAAGAACTAAGCGCTCTGCGAACAGCAGCTGAGCAGGAAAAGCGCATAGCAAGTTCACTAGGTGACGAAGGCGGCCTTTTCGGCCAATTAAGGAGCGCATGGAGAAACGATGCTGTTAGAAGAGGTCTATACGCAGGCGTAACTGTCCAGGTGGCACAGCAGTTTGTGGGCATAAACACAGTCATGTACTACAGCCCAACAATCATCCAATTTGCAGGTTTCGCATCAAACAAGACAGCAATGGCGCTCTCTCTCATCACTTCTGGACTAAACGCAGTAGGATCAATAGTGAGCATGTTCTTTGTTGACCGGTATGGAAGGAGACGCCTCATGATAATATCAATGATTGGAATCATTACATGCCTCATAGTACTATCTATAATCTTTTTTAGAGCTTCTGTGACAGCCCCCAAAATCAGTCCCACCGAGACGGCATTCTTCAGCCCCAACGCCAGCTGCCGGGCTTACACGGAAGCCATTGATGCAGGGTCTTGGGGGTGCATGACGTGCTTGAACAAGGAAAACCACTGCGGTTTCTGCTCTTCTGGAATGAATCCACGTGCAGATGGTGCATGTTTGGAGATGAACGATGAGGTAAGAGGAATGTGCAGAGCAGAGAAAAGAATATGGTACACAAAGGGGTGTCCGAGCAAGGTTGGTTTCATGGCGGTAATATTCCTAGGGTTGTACATAATAGTGTACTCGCCGGGTATGGGTACAGTGCCTTGGATAGTGAACTCGGAGATATATCCGCTAAAGTACAGAGGACTAGGGGGAGGTATTGCAGCAGTATCGAATTGGTGCTCAAATCTGATAGTGAGTGAGACTTTCTTGACACTAACGGAACATCTAGGATCATCGGGAACATTCATGTTGTTTGCGGGATTATCGTTGACGGGGGTCGTGTTTATATTCTTGCTAGTGCCGGAGACTAAAGGGCTACAGTTTGAGGAGGTGGAGAAGATGCTGCACAAGGGCTACTCTCCATTCAAGAAGAAGAGGAGCAAGAGTAATGAAAATGTTGTTGGTTGATGACTACACTCATGACTCAACACAATAAAGCATAAGCTAGCTAGGTTCAGGATTCTCATGACAATATTATTGCATTTGCAATATGTATTCAAGTTAATAAATTGAGAGATTTTTGTAGCCAAATTATGTGTCTAGACCATGCAACTTCTCCACAAATTCAAAACAAATAAATATTTTCTTATATTCTAAGTCTAACCCTAGGGGAAGACCAAAAAATAAAACCATTGATTTTGAATTAAATGTCAGCCTCCATGTATTTAGAAATAAATAAATAAATAATAAATCATAAAATTGCAAAACCCCCATGATGCACCGCTCGAACCTTCTCTACTCTTCCTCTTCCTCTTCTTCTTCTTCTTCTTCTTCTTCTTTATTAATTTGCTGCGAACAGTACATTGCCCAGCAACTCTGACGCTCGAATTTAAAGCAATGGCCATAGAAGCTGCAGAAGTTGCAACTCCACGATTGTCTCTCGCCGACACTGACATCAACTGGGACAGGTTTACTTTCATCTCTACTCTACATATTTCTTCTTCTTCTTCTTCTTCTTTTCTGCCAGTTGTGTTTCATTTCAGAACTAGGTTTCTTCCCGGTTATACACTTACCTTTCAAGAAAGGACCCTTACAATTTTTAGACTGTTTGTTTTCTGATTTAGTACTCCTTTCTGCATAATTTACTTGTCCTATTATTTTCTGATTTTGGGAGAGATGGTACTGTACAATACAAGGGCCAATGGGCGGATTTGAGTTTTTTCTTTTTTAGTCAAAGCATATGATCATCATATTGCTCACAACTCCCATTGTTGCCTAAACAAAGTTAAGATTGTAAAAATAGATTTTTACCGACTTTGCTTGCAAAGGGTTATCTTCTTCGTTTTATAGGCAAACACAAAAAGTAACTGAAATGTGAGATAACAAATGCTTAATAATTAGCTCTTTTGAGTTAGAATTGATGATATTACGCATTATGTTGTTTGTGTGGGATCGCCTAATCTAATTATGTGTTAGGTTGGATAAGACAAGGTTCCATGTGATTGGGGCTATTCTGTTCACTGTCCAGTCAGCTCTAATACACCCTACAGCAGTTGTGAAGACGAGAATGCAAGTAGCTGGATCAGGCATCTCTCAGTTGAATGGATTATCTGTTTTCAGACATATCATCAGAGCCAATGGCATTCCGGGTATTTTTAGAGGCTTCGGCACATCAGCCATTGGATCTTTGCCTGGTCGAGTCTTGGCCTTAACTTCACTTGAAGTGTCAAAGGATATGACCCTGAAATACACACAAGGCCTGAATATGCCAGAAGCAACACGAATTGGTATTGCAAATGGAGTTGCTGGAATGGTTTCCAATTTACTCTCCTGTGCCTACTTTGTTCCTTTGGATGTGGTGGGTTTTTCTTCTCCTTCCATACCCATTAATTAGCTGGGTTATGTTCTTGCATATGTTTCACAGTAAACCCCTTGTGTTTTTTTGGCAGGTAATCCAGAGATTAATGGTTCAAGGGCTACCAGGGACTAGGTCTTTCAAAGGTCCAGTTGATGTTGTACGAAAGGTGAGAAAGGCTGAAGGATTTCGTGGCATGTATAGAGGTTTTGGATTAACAGCTATAACACAAACTCCTGCATCAGCACTTTGGTGGGGTGCCTATGGTGCTGCCCAACACTTCATTTGGAGGTATATATGGTCGTAAACCTGTTATCTTCTTCTAAGAAAGATAGATAGATAGATAGGTATTGATTATGTATGATGATGGCAGGGGTTTGGGGTACAGAGATGACTTGGAAAAGAAACCGTCTCATGTAGAAATGGTTGCTGTTCAAGCAACCGCAGGTACGCTGGCTGGTGCTTGTTCTTCTCTCATTACTACTCCTATTGATACTGTTAAGACTCGACTTCAGGTGATTTTAAACTTTAAACTATGTATTGTATCTCACCATAACAGTGTTTGATGCTTTAATATATACCACTCTTGTATTGTATCTCACCATAATATTTCTATTTCTGTTTCTGTTTATGTATATATAGGTTATTGATGATTATGGTGTAGGAAGACCATCTGTAATGAAAACTGCAAAGGCTCTACTTAAAGAGGATGGGTGGAGAGGGTTCTACAGAGGATTTGGGCCTCGGTTTCTCAACATGTCTATCTACGGAACTACAATGATTGTCACTTACGAACTAATAAGTATGCTTGCTTTTTGATTAAAGTTGTTTATGTATTAGTGAATATTTAGGTGGTATTGATGATTTGCTTTTATTTGCTCCCAGAGAGATTGTCAGTGAAGCAAGCATGATACTAGAGATTTGTTTACCCCGTAAAATTGCGACGTGTACAGAGATCGATTGCCATTTATGGTTGATTCAAGAATTTAAAGAGGACTGAGCTGATGAGCTATAAAGGGGAAAGCACTTCATTTTTTGTCTTATGGAACCAAGTTTGTGTTGCACTACTTGTCTAACATCTTATGAATTTTGTGTGGCCTAACCTAACACCCACATGTAATAAAAGCTGTTACTGAAGGGATGAGGGTGGCTTTGGGCAAGATTCAGGAGACGTTGTGCCTGATTTTGATTTTCTTTCTGCAAGGAAAATAAAACATAATTACTTACATATCTTTTAAGTTTGAAAAGTCAATGTAAATTTGTAATTTTAAAATAATTTACACTAAAATTTCAATACAATTATATATTAAAGCCTATTTGCCCAAAACCTAAACCTAATTTTCTTGCCTCCACTCTCTCCCCCGCTGTAATGTTTTTTTCTTATTCTCCTCTCTTTCTCAATCATTGCCATTGAAGAAGTGAAGTTTTCTGTCTCCATCTCTCTGTCATTTTATTTTTCATAGGGAACCGGTTTTTTCCCGGTTTCAGGGCGGTTCAACCGGAATTTCCGGGTTTATGTATTGGATCGGACCGGCGTGGTTCCCGGTTCGAGATTAAACCGATCGGACCGGTCCGGTTTTGAAAACATTAGTGCGTATTCAAAAACGCTGTTTCCAAAGTCGCATAGGGTTTTCTTCTGAAAAAGCTTCAGCTTTTGAACTTGGTGGTGATTGTCAGTTAATTTCTTGTATAATTTTACAGAGAAAAATGCCGTCTCTTCAAACAGCATTGCCTCCTGAGCTCGCCAACAATGCTATCAGGGTTTGATTTTTTCCTTTTTAATCTTTTAGCAGTCAGGGTTATTATTTTTTTCCGTTTTTTTAATCGATTTACAGATCCTCTCTTCTATATTCTTGCACCTAGGGTTTATGCTGGAACCGACTTGGTTTTTTTACTAAATACGTCAAAATCAATACTCTCTACTTTCATTTGTAACAAAATTGCAGTATGGTGTCATTTACAGGACAAATTCTTATAAGCAATTTAATTTCTCAGTTCACTCTTCCTCATTCATACCTTTTCAATATGAACGCATTTCTATATAGGCTTAATTCGAATTTTAACATTTTTTTCTTATTTTTTATATTTCCCCCCTTTCTCTTATTGCAGCTTTATCGTGAATGCTTGAGACGAGCTAAATATATTGGTCAAAAGGTATGCAGTGCTCTCAGCTTTATGTGAGATCGTAAAAATCTATTTTTTTTCTTGGTGAAATACAAGGAATATATGCATGATTTATGATTGATCTGCTATATGGAATTCGTAATATTTATGATTGGGATAACACACTAGAAAGATTTTTCTTCTAACAAAATGGCTTGTGGACAGTCGTTTCTGAAATCAGAATCAGCTAATAATTGATGCTCGACTGCATATTTTATATGCACGTCAATCTATGGATCTATTAATGATGTGTATTTGTTTGTAATTAGAATGTGACTAGATTTATGAATTGAAATTTGTATCATCTGATTCTTATGCTTTGTTGAATTGGTTTTGGTGCAATGCATAGTTGTTTCTTATATTCATAGGCTACAGTTATTAGTTAATCAGGAACAGTAATTTGCTTGTCCGCTAGGGGGAGTACATTATTAGATGCATCCGCACATACAAGTTGTCGTTTTTGTAGCTCTGTTATTCTACTACTATTTGTTCATGCTTCATATGATGGATCATCAACCTTGCCCCTTCCAAGATAGTTGAATTGGTAAATATTGAATGAACAAAATTAAAATGTCATATTGCTTCTGAAATTTGTTATATTCCTTTTCTTGTTTTCATAGTAAAGCGATTTAGTTCTTTGAGAGTGCTTCTTCAACTTATAAAGAATATAGAGTAATGTAGCTCCTTTGATCTACTACTTGAACACAGAAATACAATACTGAACTTCTTACTGGTATGGTTAGAGAGCAGTTCAAAAAGCACATGCACGAGACTGATCCAGAGAAAATTCAGAATCTTAAGGATGAGTAAGTTCTACTTTGCTTATATAATTTGATGTTTATTATTGGTGAAGAATTACTGCCTTAACCATAAAAACTCGGGAAGAAAAATCTGTAGAAAATGTTGTTTTTACTCTCCTTTTTGAGTTTGCTCATTGTTATGTGACAGTGCTGCGAGGGGATTGATAAACCACATGCTATACGAGTCTGAGAACTTGTCTGGGAGAAAATTCAGCAAAAGCTCGTCAACCTAATTCGAAGCTCAACTTTGAACGTTTACCTGATAATTAATTAGTGCCCATCCCAAGTTTTGGTATCACATAAGCTTTTGATGAGACGGATTTGTGTGTCGTTCAACACGAGGCGTGCTCTTGAAACTGTTTTATGCATAAGTTGTGTGAGGCGTGCTCTTACTGAATTTGTTGGATGATGCAATTTATGTTCTTGCAAAATGGATTTTTACATTCATTAATAAAAAAATCGAACAATGGGTTTGCTTTTCGTTCTTGTCAATAGAAAATGCTTCAGAAATGGGTACAGTTTCAACTGTATCAAAATGAAATTTATTTCAATCATATATGCTATCTAATCAATGGGAACAATGCTAAGAGTTTGAGCTGACTAAGGAATAAGGATGTAATCAATTTTTCAAGTATTGTGGATAACACACATACTAAAAAAAATCAAGAAACTGCGTTTTTAATAGTGAGAAGATAAGATTGAATGACAAGTTTTTAATAATTAGGGGCCTTGTTTTGGCATTTATTTCATTATTAGTAGAGGTGTAGGATGAACCAAACCGACAACGAGGAGTCAAAGACTCGAGAGACTTGAAAATTAAACAGAGACTTGAAAATAGATTCCCTTGAACAGACAATAATCGTCAAGAATTTAGCTCTATTTAGAAATAAAAAAAAGGTTCTTTCCCTAGCTTTTAGCTTTTCCGGAAACAGTTGTGCTTCGTTTTAGAAGCAGAAAAGAGAATTTCTCCGACACACTATCATCTAATCTCAAGTAAGAAAAACCACTTCTTTTTCACCTGCTCCTTCCTTGCTCTATTTTTCAGGGTTTCCCCTCTCTTTTCTCGTGCAGACAAATGGTGGAAAATGTGAAGATCTAACAATTGATTTAAAGTGGACTCATGAGTAAAGTGTGCCAAGATTAGACGCATCAGTTACTACAAGCTAAGGTGAATGTAAAACTAATATTTATTTATTATGCAAAGAAGATGAAGAACAAGTTGGGGATGATGAAGAAGTGGACTGGTGGTGTGTTGATAACAACCCTTGCTCTAATTTTTATCATCACCTACTTCTTTATCAGCAAATCTGAATACCTTCCAATTCCAATAAACACTCTGCTTATGACTTTTTCAATCCACATTCCGTCAAAGAGGAAGATTCAGCTTCAGGTTCAGATCCAGATCCCAACTCTAACGCTACTGACGGCGACTTGCCCCAAGCAGAAGAAGTGCGGCATACAGCTGCTGCATTACCAAAACCCCACTTCACTACTCTTCATGGGCTTAACGATTTGTACATTTTGAGCAAGAATCTGACTAGACAAGACTCTTCTAATGCTGCATTGCTCACATGGTCTCAAATTAAATTTCTGTTTCCCAGATCCGACGTATTGCCTGAAACTGCCCGAGGGATTAAAGAGGTTTTCATTGTGTTTAAACATTTGCTTCGAATGATTGCAAAGGACAATGCTTTTAAACTTGGCCATGATCCTTTGACGGAGATTGTTTGGCCATGATCCTTTGACGGCGTCTTCTAATACTACATTATTATCGTCTTTTCTTGAGATTCCTTGTGGTCTAGTAGAGGGTTCTTCTATAACTGTAATTGGAATACCTGATTCACATCAAGATACTTTTCAAATTGAATTGATAGGCGCACAACTGAAGGAGCTAAAGCCTCCAACTGTATTGCAATACAATGTTCTCTTACCAGGCGAGAACTTGACAAAAGAGGCTGTTACTACTCAGAATACGTGGTCTCAAGAATTTGGGTGGGGCAAGGAGGAGAAATGCCCCGATCATGCCGCACCTCTTGATCTTGTAAAAGGTAAATGTATATTGTAGCTAATTAGAAAACATAAGACTCCATTCTTGATTATGTAGCACCCCCCTTCTAATCGGGCGATAAATCGAACCGGTTTATCGAATATTTATACATATAGCGGAAGCAAAGGATCTCTTTGTAATTTTTGAAACTTTGAAATGGGACCAAAATGCAATTATTAAAACTTTGCATTTTTCGAAATCTTTCTTTAGGTTACTTTAGCCGAATAAAGCTTTCGTTGGAAACAAGTTTTGAGAGGAGGTTTTTCGTTCGAGTGCTACACTATCACTATCGGTTTTCGGTTCGAGAAGAAATCAGAGTTTGGAAAGATTATTTTGGTGAATAATTCGAAAATTACTAGTGGAGGCATGAAAATAGCAAAATTACGAAACAAACTATATTATAATGGGAGTTAGGTACGATTCATACCGGTAATGAGTTTAAAAGGTACGAAAAGAAAATAGTTAGGTTTAATATTACATCACCAAAAGAAAAATCCAAAACACTTTGGCATCGTTCATAGGTCCTCGTACAACTTCCAACAAAAATCCGGGCAAGACCTCGATCCGCTACTCGGTCCATCCTGACTGAGGTTACTAGCACTACTATCTGCAATTAAAAGGCATATATATGAGCTATAAAGCTCAGTAAGAAATTCGATTAAATTATCGAACTTTGAAAATACGTTATATATAATATATAATATTATATATCCATTCTTACCCACATTCCAAACAACACAAGACAATCGGTAATTCACATAATTCACGGAAACACATCATTCACACTGATCCGGACCGAAATTATTCTGTAAAGCCCAGAACCCAAGCCCAACTAGCGCGGCCCATCGAAGGATTGGACTCATTAGTAATGACGGCCCAGAGGGCTTGCCTAGCCCATCGGCATAAAGGCCGATCCACGAAGGACCTAATTTCCCTCTCGCGGAGCTCTTACAGGTCGGGTGAGTCATAAATGCTGGGCGGCGCATTTAATGTTCTGACAGGGGCATTTATGGCGGAATGACCACGTGCGGCCCAACGGCTAATACCGAACAAGGTCGTCAGACCTATTGAGGAGTCATCATGACCCCGGTCGTCCGGGCTGCTCGGGAAAGGACGGCTGCCATCCATAATCAGCGCGGAATTCCCGGGCCTTTGGGCCCCGGGCCAAAGCATGTATAAAAGGGAGCTTCTCTTTTCCTTCTAGATATACAAAAATTCTCAGTCCTAAGGAAATACAACAATTACACCATTACTGACTTGATCGTCGGAGTGCTAACTCCGGCATCAGTCCGGCTTTCTCTTTTTCAGGTCACGGGAAGCTGAGGTCGTTGGCGTAACTGTTTTCCGCCGGATCACACACATAAACACGTACTTATGCAAAATGACTAAAATGCCCTTTTTATGAAAATCGTGGAAAAACACATTTTTCGTTTTATCGGATCCGTGAAAGATTAATTTATGTACCAGAATAATAAACCTGTTACGAGCCCGTATTCACTAAGTGGAATGAAACCAAAAAAAATTCATCCTAGTTGGATACCGGCCCTCTATATCCGAGTTGTTTATTACCCGGTATTCCATTAATCTTTCAATTTAAAAACCGTGAAATGCATCTTTTCGAAATCATGCTTATGACCCACACATAACATCACAAATATCAATCAAGTGCCACAAAATCACACAAATATCACAATTTACCACATATTTATAATTTGGGCAAAAATCCCCAAATTCACACACATAAACACACACAACCACACACGGCACACACCACATACACATTCAGCGCACACACACGTATTCAGCACACACACATGCAGCCACACATTAAAACATCACTATTTAATATCAAAACCACGCTTGAAAAGCAAGCACCCCTTTTTCACCTTTCATTTAATGAACTTATTACCACTTCTAGGTAATAATTCCTTCCAATAAATTCCAGCAGTGATAAACACATCCATGCAGCAAATTAAGGTACAAAACCCCAAATCTCATCACTCATAGTTATTTAATCAAAGACGTGAAAATAAAAGCACAAAACATAATAAATGATATGCAAAATGTCCTAATTTCGAAATAATAGTAAACTAATTCCAAAAATTCCCAAATTAAATCCTAGAACTCCTAACTGATCCAAGTTTCAGATTTTGAAATTAATTTAAATTTTCACAAAGTTTCGAATTTTCTTGAAATAAAAAACTAGAAAAATTCCCTTTTTCTTTTAAAAATCCAAAACTCTCATATAACCTTAATTACTTTGAAAACTTTGTAAATAAAACATTTTCCCATTTAATACTTGCTGGAAAACAGATTCAAACCTTAGAAATGAGAGATTTTACTGAAATTACAGTTTTGACCCCAAAGTTTCAAGATTCACACATGCAACCCCACTAAAAGTTCAAAATCCACTTTTTCATGAAAAACCCCTAACAATCTGAAATTTTAATTCAATAAATTCAGAAACAAAGTTAAAAAGTCACTTTATGCAGAAATTTCAAAAATTACATATTTCACCCCAAAATCTCTAGATTAGACATGCAATACCACTAAAAGTTCAAAAATCACTTTTTCTTGCATAACCTTTTTAAATCCTAAAATTTTGTTCGATAAATGCTGAAAAACATGTTTGAAAACACATTTAGGACTGACTTCTTGAAAATTACAGATTTGACCCAAAAATCATTCGATCTACACATGCAACCCCATAAAAGTTCAAAAATTCATTTTTCTTGAAACCCCTTTTTGGAATCCGAAATTTTTAATGCTTTTGGCCAATATAACTTGTATCTACCCACTACCAACATAGATGATGCATGCAAGAACAAGAAATCAACACTAAACACATCTTTTCCATTTTTCCCCAAAAAGCCCTAATTTTTCGAAATCACTCCAAATCTTTTAAGAAATTTTGAAAAACATTTTAATACTATGGATGCCTCCTGATTGCAGCAAGAAATCAAAATTTCTTAACTTAAAACCGAAAGAAAAGAAGAAGGGGTGAAGGAGAGTGCTTCAAGTATTGATGTCAAGCTCTAACCAAGCCTCTTTGATTGTGGAAGAGATTGAGTGGGTTTTCAAATGAGATGTATATTTCTTTGATGAATGGTGATCTAGGCTGCTCCATGACCGTGGTTAAATAGGAGAATTTTAAAGTGATTTTGGGATTTCTTTAAAAAATGGGAGTTGATGTGCAGTGGCGGATCTAGCTATGGTCTAGGGTGTGCAGTTGCACACCCTTGATTATAAACAAATAGCACTGTTATACATATATTGAGAGATAAAGTAGGTGGTTGATGTGGTAAAGATATGCTTCATTTTATTAATAGGTCCCGGGTTCGAACTCCACCCCTTTCAATATTTGATTTTTTTTCCAAATCTTAACATTTTTCACCTTTTTTCTCATTAAATATTTCCACAATTCACCTAAAAATTTTAAATTGTAAATTTTTGGTCCACTATTTTGATTTTTTTTTCCAAATCTTAACATTTTTCACCTTTTTTCTCATTAAATATTTCCACAATTCACCTAAAATTTTTAAATTGTAAATTTTGTGTCCACTATTTTTATAAAGTGATATTTAATTTTTTTTACTTTACAATTTCGAACCCCCTTGGCAAAAATCATGGATCCGCCACTGTTGATGTGGAAGGAGATGAAGAATGGAGGTGGTGATGTTGCTACGGTGGAGAGGGAGAAAGGAAGACAAGTAGGGGGGTTTAGGTGTGGGAAGAATAAACAATTGATTTGCTCCGTGAAACAGCCTAAAATACTTCCTGCCAAATACATAATGTAAATGGACGACGATGCGTTTGTAAGGATTGACCAAGTACTATCGAGTCTCAAGGAAAAGACATCATCTAATGGACTTTTATTTGGACAAATATCATTCGACTCATCTCCCAACAGAGAGAGTGACAATAAATGGTTCATAAGCGACGACGTATCATTTTATTAATATATATTATATACAATACTGTGATTTGTTGTGGTATAATAACAATGGATGGATGGATGGATGGATGGATCTATTGAACATGAGTGGCCACATTCAACGTACCCTCCTTGGGCTCACGGTCCAGGTTACGTAATATCACAAGACGCAGCAAGATTTATAGTTGAAGGCCACAAACAGAGGGATCTCATGGTAAATAAAATAAAACATTTTTTTTCTTCTGAAATTGGAGATAGTTAATTACATATGACAAGTGAGTATGTTTGATAGATCAGCTATTTAAACTGGAAGATGTAGCTGTGGGGATATGGATAGAAGAGTACAAAAAGAGGGGTCGGAAAATGAAGTACATGAACGATGATAGATTCTACAATGCTGGATGCGAAGCTGAGTATATTCTTGCTCATTACCAAAATCCCAGGTTGATGCCTTGTCTATGGGAGAACCTCAACAAACAACATAAGCCTGATTGCGATTGATTGTATTCTCACAGCAGGGTCTGCTTTTCATTTGTAGTAAAAATATGCTCCCCCATGTATTTTTCTACTGCATTGTCAATGAATGAAGCAACCTAACAAAAGGCCTTTTTTATAGAATAATAAATTGTTTATTTCCTTTGCTAAAATTATCACTCGAATCTGGTCAATAGGATGATAAAATCAAGGGCGAATGGCAAAAAAGGCCCATCACATGCGACTTAAATGCATTTTGGTCCAAAAAAAAAAAAGTCTTTAAATTAAACCCATCCCCATGTTTTAGTCTAAAATACCCTCCATAATATAATTCTTATCAATTTCATCCATTATGCTCTAATTTCCTTAATATTACACATTGACCCCGGATTTAGACAAATATATCACATTAACCCCCAAAATATTTTTTTTTTCAGAAAATAATTTTTTTTCTGAATTTTTTTTTCGGCCAGATTCCGGCATTGACCGCCGGTCTCCAGCATTGACTTTTTTTTTTTTTGAAAACGTTTTTTTTCCTGAAATTTTTTTCCGACCGCCGGTCTCCGGCGTTGAATTTTTTTTTTTTGAATTTTTTTTTTCTTAGAAAAAAATATTTTAATTAATATTACGGTCTTGGCTACTAAATTACTGTCTCAGAAAGTAATATTACTGTTTGGGACAGTAATATTATGAATATTATTTTCCCGAACAGTAATATTATTAATATTATTGTCTAAGACAGTTAGATTACTGTTGGGAGACAGTTAAATAACTGCTGGAGACAGTAATTTAGCAACGAATACAGTAATATTAATTAAAAATATTTTTTTGAAGAATTAATAGTCAGTTAACAGTTAAATTATTGTCTCCGACAGTTAAATAACTGCTGGAGACAGTAATTTAGCAGCAAAGACAGTAATATTAATTAAAATATTTTTGAAGAAAAAAAAATCAATTAACAGTTAAATAACTGCCGGAGACAGTAATTTAGCAGCCAAGACAGTAATATTAATTAAAATATATTTTTTAAAGAAAAAGCAAAATTATAAAATAAATAAATAAATAAAAAAGGTCAATGCCGGAGACCCGGAGGTCAACGGCAGTTGACCGGCCGAAAAAAAATTTGAGGGAAAAAAAAGTTTTTCTTCAAAAAAAAAAAAAAAAAGTCAACGCCGGAGACCAGCGGTCAACGGCGGCGACCGGCGGTCTCCGGTGGTGGCGGGTTAAAATTGGGGTCAAAATTGAAATTAGAGTTAAAATTGGTTAATTGATGAAATTGAGCTAAATTGGAATGTAAATAATGAAATTGGAGTTGAATTGGATTTCAATGAATTGGGGTAATTTTAGTATATATAAAAGGATTTTCCTTATTTGCAAATAAGTTTGAATGAGCTGGATTTATTTGAAAGACAAAAAAGTTGGATGTCCCTCTTTTAATTAAGTGCCTTTGTCATGGGCCATTTTGTGATTAACCCTAAAATCAAATTGAATAACACTTGCTTAAAATATTTATTAATTGTGCAAAGTGATAAAATTTCATCGACCAATCATAATGCGACACATGAACACCAAAAAGAAAGCCCTAGAAGCCTCAGCCGCAATTTTGATTTTTTCTATTTTCTTTTTATTTTTAATTAATAATTTAATATATAGATATATTGGACAGCGCGTATGTTTACTTTTCCTAATACCACTCTCATTAAGCAAACCCCCAATTCTTATTTGATATTGCAGTCTCTGTCTCTAAATTAAAAACCTAGCTTCTCTCTCTCCTCTTCGTATTCCTTCTTTCACATACAAGAACAAGGAAAAAAAACTCTATCGTCTCCAGATTTAAGAACACAACTCTAATTACCCCTTCTGAGATTTGATTCTCCGGATTTTTTTTCAATTAATCAAGAAATCATGGTGGCGGAAGCAGAGATTATTTGTCAAACAACCGTCGCCGTTCAGTACCTTTGTGTTCCGTCTCCGACGTCACCCAGATTAGAAGCAAACATATTCGATGTCTCAAAGGCGGCTACTGCTGAGCCCATATCTATCAACCTCTCTCGTTGTGAATCTGTATGTATCGATTCTTGATCTTGACCTAATTTTGTGTTCCTGTTGGTTTGAGTTCTTAATTCCCAATTTAATCTGCTACTTCCCCAGTGAAAATTTTCCTTTTAATTTTGGATTCATGATTTTGGTGTTTTCTCTGTGAAGTTTGTTGCTTTCTTGTCCTGCTTTTATTTTATCGAAAGTGGGCTTCGTTCTATATATCTCTGTTAGTTAATCTTCTTTTTATGTGTTGTTCATGATCCAATTTTTAACTGCTTTTTATATGGTGTGCGTTGATGCATGTGTTATTATCCTTTTTTTTGAATTCTGCTTCGACTGTTATGCTATTGTGCGAATTATGGTTTCCCCGTCATGCTGTTATCTGTTGGTTAGGTTATATAGTGAGAACTTGATCTGGGTTTTTTTTTTAATTCAATTAGTTGAGCTTAGAATCATGAAAATAGTATTCCTAATCTGAATATGCAAAACTTCATCTAATTTCAGGAAAAAAAAAAAGTTTTGATATTCAATTGTTAATTGGACTTCGATTCGTCTATTTTCACGTGGATTAGGAAATTGGAAAAAGAAATATAAAAATTGAACATGCACTTAGATATTATCATATTTTGGGATGAACTTCTACTCCATATTTGGTTTGACCTGATCTTATCCAGTCACCGCCTACCATGTTTAATTATACTTGCCTTGGAGAGTGATTATATGTAGTGTAAATCTACCTCATTTGCTTGCTATGTTTGGATTTACTTTCGGTCGTGATATGGGTCACATCCTAACAAGATTTATTATCTTGTAATCAGGCTCTGAGCTGCTCAACAAGTGAACACACTACCACGGGATTGGAAGGTGCAGCAAGAAAGTTTGTGCCAAGACCTCGTTCTGGTAGCCATACTGATATTGGACCTCGCAGTTCCAACGAGGATCAGCACATTCGGATTGATGACCTTTGCACCCACTTGGGGGACCTGTGCAGTTGGTCTGAACCAAGTTCCTTTTATGCTGTATTCGATGGTCATGGTGGGTCTGATGCAGCAGCTTACATGAGGAACAACACCATGAAATTCTTCTTCGAGGATGCTGGATTGCCTCAGACATCTGATGATATTGACGAAAAGTTCTTGCAAGATCTAGAGAGTTGTCATCGTAGATCATTTTTACTGGCAGATCATGCACTGGCTGACGAACTGAGTGTTGTTGATTCCTACTGTGGAACAACAGCCCTGACTGCCCTAGTTCTTGGAAGGAACCTGCTTGTAGCAAATGCTGGAGATTGTCGGGCTGTCCTATGTAGGAAAGGAGATGCAGTACAGCTGTCACAAGATCACAGGCCCTCGTGTGAAGTTGAAAGAAAGAGGGTTGAGGATTTAGGCGGTACCATCGAATATGGGTACCTGAATGGTGAACTTGCTGTGACTCGAGCACTTGGAGACTGGTACATGAAGCTACCATTTGGATCTGCATCACCCCTTACTGCTGAGCCAGAATTTCAATGGACTTTGTTGACAGACGAGGATGAATTCTTGATAATCGGATGCGATGGGATTTGGGATGTATTATCGAACCAGGAGGCAGTAAGATTAGTAAGGCGTGAACTGAGGCACCACAATGACCCGCAACAGTGTGCTAAAGAGCTAGTCAATCAAGCATTGAAAAGGGATACATGTGACAATGTGACTGCTATTGTTGTTTGTTTATCTAACCCCTCTCCTCTGAGTCAGAGTCAAGATTCAGTTACTAATGGAAGACCGAGATTCAGGTTCTGCATGTCGGAGGAGTTGAGGAGCTTATTGGAAGGCAATTGACTCCAGATATACTACTACTAATTATTCCTTTGCCTTTGATGATCTGATCTGGCAATATTCATTCTTTGTACAGATTATTAAATTGTTTTTCCATCTGTTTAGAGGTTGTTTCAGATATAGATAGATACCAATTGAGAAAAAAGCAACCCTGAATTTTGCAATATATAGAGAGAATGAAATGTAAAACTGCGATATTGATTCCTAAATTGCTGAGTTTGTTTGGTTTATGTTTTGCCAGTTCAAACTTGAAACTAAATTCTAACTCTAATAAATAAGAAATAAGAATATAATTGTACATGAAAAAGATAATATAGTTTAATTTTTCAATGATATTTTGTAGTAGGAGATGAAAGAAAAAAGGTTTGTTGATTTGATGATAAAATATAAGTGATGGAGTGAGTTCGTTGCTCTGAACCAAATATCAAATGTACGATTGGGTTGGGTTGGGTTGGGCCTGGCCTCAAGATATGGACACTTATTATTTTTTTGTTTTTCTTTTTTTATATATTAGTTAAATCAAAGTTAATTTGATATACAGTTGTTGGAGCACTATCTCTCAAGACAAAAAGCATCGGACGAATGAGGATGAAGTCAAAGTCAGCATCGAATAGATGAACGACTGAGATGAAATCCCAGTGACTATAGAATAATTCGATTCATCAAATTCATTTTTCAATACCCACAATTCACAAACAACATCAATAATCAATCATCAAACAAAAATGGCGATGGTAAGTCTCGCTAGGCGTAGAGCAGCGACGCTGTTTGCTTCATCGTCAAACTACTCTTTCAATGTCACCAGGGGATTCTCCTCGGGATCTGATGAAAACGACGTTGTCGTTATTGGCGGCGGCCCCGGTGGTTACGTCGCCGCTATCAAGGCGGCGCAGCTTGGCCTCAAGACCACCTGCATCGAGAAGCGTGGGACTCTCGGTGGAACCTGCCTCAACGTCGGCTGCATCCCTTCTAAGGTGCTGCAGATCTTTTTTCGAATCTTCTTTTTCTGATTTTTTTTGTTTTTGTTTTTGATTGGTATAAATTAAACACTGGCTAATTAGTAGGTTTACGGGGATGTCTTCTGCTGTTAACAAGTTTTTCAGTTAGATAGTTCATTCTTTAACACCTTTTCTTTCATTACTTCAATGGTGGGGAGAATTGAGCGCAAATGGTAACTGCTATTGATTAACTATTCGGGGCTAAATCTCCATTGCTTAAAAGATATTGATGCTCATGCTTCGGTGAAAGAATAACCATAACAATGTTTATTTGCTTTACCTAATTCAGATACTACAGGAAAATCTTTTACTTGCATCAACAATCCAAAACTGATTTGAGGATTGCATATAATATATTTTTGTGAAAGGTGTCTTTGTAACCCTACATCTCACTCTCTGACCTCCCTTTCCCTCTAAGCCGGTTCCTGTGCTTATATATAAATGTGCATGTTTTGTAAGGCCTTTTAAGGTAACAAATATGATTATCAAGTGGGGTTAAGATATTATTTCACTAACTCCCGTTGTAACCACTTCTGATGCTTGACTAGTCCAGTTAAGAAGTGCCAAAACATAAAAACTTGGTGTCGGAAAAACGAATGCACAGTCCAGTTTTAAAGGCAATACAATGATATAAATTGGATTGCTATTTTGGGAGGTATCCTTACTGGACTCTGTTGGTTGGTTAGTGGGTGTTTGGTGGTGTGGTGGGGAGTATAGACTATAGTCGGAATAGGGAAATGTCGGATGCTGCTTATCCAGTGTTTTTATGAAGATTCATACCACACCTTTGTAAAACTGACATAACAAAGCACCTGCTCTACCATCTTCAAATTTCCTTTGTATTATTGTCAGAGGCTCTCAGGTTTTGGTATACTAAATAAATGTGTATGCTTCTAAGTTGCCCTTTATCTTTTGTACATAGTAAGCAGCAATTTACATTTTGTTTTTTCTTGGTTTGGAAGTCGTCGAGTGTTGAAAAATATACAAATAGTGAATTAGTATACTCTACAAGATTTAATGTAGTTAAACTTGTAATTATTTTTAAGAAGTGATGATATGATTGTGCTCAAGTCTTCACGTGCTATAATTTGTTTCCTTTAATTAACCATTTACTTCCTTGTTATATCTTGAATAGTTACTTTGAATGAGTTGCAGGCGTTGCTTCATTCCTGTCTAAATTATAGTTACTTTGAATAATAGTCACTTTCATGTTCTAAACTTTGTACCTGTCTTCCGTATTATGTACCTTTTGCAGGCGTTGCTTCATTCCTCCCATATGTATCATGAAGCTAAGCATTCATTCGCCAATCATGGTGTAAAGGTTGCTTCTGTTGAAGTTGATCTACCGGCTATGATGGCTCAAAAAGATAAAGCTGTGGGTAATTTGACCAAAGGCATTGAGGGTTTGTTGAAGAAGAACAAAGTAACATACGTCAAGGGATATGGCAAGTTCCTTTCCCCAACTGAAATTTCTGTTGATACTCTCGATGGAGGAAACACAGTTGTGAAAGGAAAGAACATCATTATAGCTACTGGTTCTGATGTCAAAAGTCTCCCAGGAATAACTATTGATGAAGAGAAAATTGTATCGTCTACTGGTGCGTTAGCCTTAAAAGAGATCCCTAAGAAACTTATAGTTATAGGGGCTGGGTATATTGGTCTTGAAATGGGTTCAGTTTGGGGTCGGCTGGGGTCAGAGGTTACCGTGGTTGAATTTGCATCAGAAATTGTTCCGACCATGGATGGTGAAGTCCGGAAGCAATTTAAACGTTCCCTCGAGAAGCAGAAGATGAAATTCATGCTCAATACTAAGGTGGTATCTGTTGACACCGCAGGAAATGGTGTGAAGTTGACCCTCGAACCATCAGCTGGTGGTGAACAAACAACTCTTGAGGCTGATGTGGTTCTTGTTTCTGCGGGTAGAACTCCATTCACTGCTGGGCTTCAGTTGGATAAGATAGGTGTTGAAACCGATAAAGTTGGACGGATTTTGGTGGACAAGCGGTTCACGAGCAATGTACCTGGTGTGTTTGCCATTGGTGATGTTATTCCAGGTCCTATGCTAGCTCACAAGGCCGAAGAAGATGGTGTTGCCTGTGTGGAATTTATTGCTGGGAAAGAAGGGCACGTGGACTATGATCTGGTCCCTGGAGTTGTGTACACGCATCCTGAGGTGGCGTCTGTTGGAAAAACTGAGGAACAGGTGAAAGCGCTTGGAGTTGAATATCGTGTGGGCAAGTTTCCGTTGTTAGCAAACAGCAGAGCAAAGGCGATTGATGATGCTGAGGGATTGGTCAAGATTCTTGCTGACAAGGAGACAGATAAGATATTGGGTGTCCACATAATGGCACCGAATGCAGGGGAGCTTATACATGAGGCTGTTTTGGCGTTGCATTATGGAGCATCAAGTGAAGACATTGCTCGCACTTGCCATGCGCATCCAACTATGAGTGAGGCGTTGAAGGAAGCTGCCATGGCCACTTATGACAAGCCCATTCACATTTAGAAACTTGCATTCTTATTTCGTTTTTGTTGTTTTTTGAAATTTCTTGACTGAAGTTTGCACAGGTTTTCTCGATTCGTGCCCCCTTCCTTACACACAAAAAAGATTTGATAATTGAACAAGATTTAATGGTGCTTCCTTCATTTTCACTTGTTCTTGTTCATTATTGTACTGTGAATTTGAATGTTCATTCCAGATGATTATGTAATAACTTGAGAAGCAATTCAAATGTTGGAGCTTTTGTTAAAGCTGAAGTTATATGCAATTATGTTGAATGATATGCCTATCTTGAAACTAATTTACATGGGCACAGGGGATATGATATGCCTATCTTGAAAATTATGCTCGTGATTGAAAAATCATGTGTATAATCCATTAACAATCTGCTCTTTGCCTGAAACAAAAAATCTGATATTTGACATTCTAACCAGTTTTAGTTAGAACTCTCGCAAAACCCAAATGAAGAGAAGCTTAAATGCACAATTCTAACATATATGATGAAGAAATTAAAGTTGAGAAGAGCATCACCATTAAACCACAAGCAACAACATAACCACTGTATCGAAGTTGATGCTAAGAATCTGAAATGTGAACAACATTATTTTGGTGCTGGCCAACTGGTTTGAAATGAAAACAATAACAATCTTGAAACACGGGGACGGGTGTTGGATTCAGAGATGGACTTTAGTGGGCTTGTAATCAACAACAAGGACTTTTTCAAGCTGAGGCAGCAGTGTGTTTGCATATTGAACATGATCTGGATGAGAGATATAGTCGGCAATGCCTTGCGTGCTCTCAAATGTTGATTCGAAGATATGAGTGTAACCCTCATTCAAGTTCTCTATGCTCACATCTTTACCCCTGTCAGTCAGTCACTCACACCACAACAAATTCTAATTAACATTCATATTAATCCGAACAAATTATCACATTAGAAATAACAAAAGGAAATTAATTATCTCGAAATGGAAACTCGGTAAGAATAATAACTATGTTAAGGGATGGATAAGCAGACCATCACAGGTGAAGATCCTCATAAGAAGTTGTCCTATAATTAATTATAGAGAGTCATCAACCACAAAAGGACAAACTTGAGTGATGAATGAGCATTAAAGTGCAGTTTCAAATGCAACTTTATCTCATCAAATCAATTAGCAATTAGCAATTAGCAATTAGCAATAGAAAACCTCAATAAGAAGAATGGATGGTTGGTTGGAAGATATATCCCATTGTTCAGAAATGGATCCATCATCGTGGTCCAACATTATTAAGGAACAATCAACACACCACACAAACATAATCTTACTCGAATTGATCAGCAGCAAATGTAGAGAAAATAAAAAAAAAAATGGATCTTGAGTGAAGAAATGAGAAGAGAGGGTAGGGTACTACCATGAGAAGGACTTCATAGAAGGAACAAGATTGACAAGATTGGCGTATTGTTTGATGTATTCTTCAATTTGATCTTCAGTAATTCCTTGTTTGAATTTTGCGAGTAGTATGTGCTTCACTTCACCCTCCATTTTGTGAGTGTGTATTAGAGGTTGGAAATCTTATAATGAAGATAAGAGTAATAGCGGTGCATTAATAATATAGTTTTTTTTTTTTTTTTTTGATCGGTAAATGTGAAATATATAGATCAAAACGGACTTTACAAATACACTGGGCATACCCAGGCAGTGTAATCAAAAAAATATATAACATTAATAATATAGTTGGTTGGGGCCTGGGGGTAGTCCGTAGTACTAGGGTTTGGGGGTTAAAAACTTTTGTATCTTTTTGTCTAAATAAAAGAACAAGAGGGGATAAATCTTGTTTTTGTTGCATCTTCATATACATAATATTATATTGCAATTGGTTTTGATCATGCAATAATCTGTATTTGGAATCTGTAAAGTCTCTAATTATTCATTACACATAACACAGTTGAGTTTGACAGACACCAAATACAGCAGGACACTCTGTTTCAAACAACAACTTCACTTATTATTAATAATAAACTCTAAAGGAAAGAAAAAACAATCTTCAATCTTGAATCTTGAATCTTGATTGAGGAGGAGGGTATGGTGTTTGTAACTCAGAGACGGACAGGTGTTGGCTTGTAATCAACTACAATGACGTTGTCGAGTTGAGAGAGTAATAAGGTTGCGTATTCAACGTGAGATGGATGAGAAACATATTCAGCAACACCTTGCGTGCTTTCAAATGTAGATTCAAACACATGAGTGAATCCTTGTTGCATGTTTTCCTTGCTCAGATCTTTACCCCTGTACACCAATCATCATCAATCATCAAACATTAGAATAATCATGAATTTCCAGTAATTAATTAAGGAAACAATATACATGAACTAAGGAAATCCAACAGTAAGAAACAAGATTGATGAACACTAAAGCGATTGATTGACCATGAGAAGGCCTTCATAGAAGGAACAAGATTGACAAGGTTGGCATATTGTTTGATTGATTCTTGTATTTCTTCTTCAGACACACTTTCCTTGAACTTTGCAAGCACTATGTGCTTCACTTCACCCTCCTCCATTCTTTTTTCTCTTTATTTCACTCTCTATTATTTGTCTTTTGTAATAATATATATGCTTCATACATACATAGTGGAGATATTTAGTAAAGGTGTGGGGTATCTATCCCCTTATCTCTTACCACAAGATCCACATGTTTTTATTTCCTTACACCACCATCCTTTCTCTGTCCAAATTACAATGTTAACATTAATGTTCTCATACATCTCATCTTCCAACTTTTAAAGCACTCACTAGCTATATGTGTTTTACTTTTTGTTCTCTCTCTCTCTCTCTCTCTCTCTCTCTCTCTCTCTCTCTCTCTCTCTCTCTCTCTCTCTCTATACCAGAGTTATTTCAAGTGTAACAAATTGAGTTGTCCCAAGGACATTATTTTAGGACAAATGATTAAAGTCAACAACACCCTGAAACTAGTACACAAAGCAAGCATACATATATAGATGGTACCTGCTCTGCAAATGAAGTAGAGAGGTGGCGCATATCCCATCTCAGGCGGCCACTCAACTTTATCCGGGTGGTGACTGTTGACAGTAACCAATCTGGTGCTGAGGTCTCCCCTCCCTTGTCTTCTCACAGAAGCAATCTATTACATCGTATATATATATATATATATATATATAATTAAGTAACCATCCGGATAATCAAACAACTGATCAATGTTGCTGAATACTTGGATATATACTAGTTTTGTATCCCTTGCATTGAAACCTAGGATAACTCAAAACACACAGATTAACATAGTCCAAACTCCAATATATTATTGAGTACTCAAACTTCCATTTCTTGTAGAAATGCAGCTTTGTCTTGGTTCAGTTTTTTGCAATTACACGTACAACGCATTAATGACATGAGTATTTGGCAACAGTACTAGACGTAACAAACAATCTTGAAACACATTTGTTTTTATTGGAAATGGAATTAAAAATAGAAAAAGAACAGTCGTAGGTCTGCATGCAGGACATGTTTATGTGTCGAATAACATGTGTTGGATTCAGAGTTTAACTTTAGTGGGCATGTAATCAACAACAAGGACTTTGTCAAGCTGAGGCAGTAGTGTGTTTGCAAATGCAACATGATCCGGATCCGACAGATATTCGGCAATGCCTTGTGTGCTCGCAAAGGTTGACTCGAACACATGAGTGAAACCATCATTCAAGTTCTCTATGCTCACATCTTTACCCCTGTCGTCACTCACACCACAGAAGATATATAACATGAGAAGAAATGTGAAGAGAGAGAGTGGATGGATTAGAGTATAGGGTACGTACCATGCGAACGCTTTCATAGACGGAACAAGATTGACAAGATTCGCGTATTGTTTGATGTATCCTTCAATTTCATCTTCAGAAATTCCTTGTTTGAGTTTTGCGAGTAGCATGTGCTTCACTTCATGCTTGCCTTCTGATAAAGCAATGAAAAGGAAGAGAAAACAAAAAAGAATTGGAAATTTCATATATAATGTATTTTTCGTTGATGTTCTTGTGCTCCGTACACTCATCTTTATAGGAGAAAATCTAATCGAAGATGGTAACAAGAAGAAGGGAAAGAGAAGAGTTTTGAAATAGTACGTATTGCGGAAATACAATCCTACTCCTATTCGTGTATCGTATCATACATATCATACATGCATGTAGTGCATTATATTTCAACACTTTTCTCTCTCTTTAGAGTAGTGTGTGTTTGCTTAGTTGGGGTAGGGCCGGGGACTAGGGGTTGGCAGTTAGGGACTAGGGTTACCCTCTGACTAGTTGTTAAACTTTTGCATTGTCAATCCTTATCAACAGCATCTTGTTGATGAAAATATAAATATATATGGGCCATTAATGTTAAACTTGAGGGTCAGAAAGAGTTGAAACTAGTGTAGCTAACAAGTGTGCATGGTACAAAGAGTTGATTCATTATTGCTTTTTCTTATCACAAAACAAAAATCGCCATTCAATTTTCCCAAGGTACGTATGTGTACGTATATCAGTCAGCCATGTACTACAATACAACTTCGTTTTAGAGGGTATTAAATATTGAACATATTATACGCATCTCTACTAATTTAAGCTTTTGAATCATCACTTGTTGGCTTTCTTGTTCTTCTTCTGCTTTTGCTTGAGCTGAGTAAGGCCTGCTGCTGAAACCTTCACATTACCAACAATCGCAGCAACAAGCTCAGGATCTGTGCATGCCTTCATTAATTCCTTCTCTCTCGTTGTCGCCTCCCCTGTGTGATTGAACAAATTCATCGCTGTCTTCGCCGCTGTCACAAAACAATCAAACTTGCTAATCAATACAAGGCCGAGTAACAAACTTCTAGAATAGAAAAAGGTTTTTTTTTTTTTTTTAAATAAATACCTTTTCCTTTCTTTAGTGAGCCTGGAATTATCTTTACACGGTATTTATACGATTGTAGCGCGTTATAAGGACCACAGACAGGTACTGCATACAGTAACACATCATTCGGCAGCGGATTTCCAGTCAGGTAGTCAACATCATTTAGTTTCTCTTTCTCTTCTTCACCAATCTCATTAATATCATCTTCCTCCATATTCACCCTGTCCATCTCACTTGCACCCCTATCTACATCCCCGTTTGCTTTACTCCTCGCACTTTCGTCTGGATGTTCCGGACAGTCTCGAGACGTATGACCTGCCTTCTTACATTTGTAACATATTTTTGTAGCATCTGAGGGTGCTGCAAATAAAAAGGGAAGAAATTGTTTGCATCATCAATAAAACATCTCCCAAAGTCAAAAATGCTGAGTAATAACCAGGATTGCTGTAATCAATTGAAGTTCTCGTCAATAAAACATCTCCCAAAGTCAAAAATGCTGAGTAATAACCAGGATTGCTGTAATCAATTGAAGTTCTCGTCAATAAAACATCTCCCAAAGTCAAAAATGCTGAGTAATAACCAGGATTGCTGTAATCAATTGAAGTTCATAAATTTTGTACATAATGGTCTGAAATAATGCCATCATTAAGAGTTTGTTTAAGAAACTAATGAAAATAGTCCATCAAAGTTGCTCCAAAGATCTAGGGAACTGCTAAACCAGTGATATCTACAATGATGGAAGTATGTTGGCTAAATGCAGTTCCATCTAGTGCAAACTATTTGGACTAATCAGAAACTCTTAAGGGAGTACAAGATCATGGACCATCTTAAGACTAGGCAGCTTAAACACTGGTCACTAACCTCTGGTGCAGAAAGAACAGTCAAAGAGGGAATCAGAAGACCACACACACACACACACACAAGAAAAAAAAAAGGAGTTTGAAGGTCAGTTTCACCAGGTAATCATGTCACTGAAATGTGAATGTAGAAACTGTTACTGTCATTATGTGTATCGTAATTACCGCTAGCAATTTTGGCTTGTTTTTCTGCGGTTTCCTTTTCATTCTCAGACTTTTCAATGTCCTTCTTTGGTTTCCCAGCAGCCTGCACATAAAAGATTCAAATGTCAATTAACAAGAATCTTTTAGGAACCATAAGAGTGCGACTTTTTATAAGGACTCCAAGGAAATAGATGTAGCCTTTCAAGTTCAAAATTTCTTGTTTTTAACATACTTTCCCATGTCCGTTGCTATGATCAAAATAAATTTATTTACGAACAAGAGCAGCTTCTTAACTATTATTATTGGAATACATATACAGTGACGGAGAATATATGAGAAAATAAAATAGACGGTTAATGTTATGTGTTTCATAATTGAGTTCAGATGTACATAGAAGTACTTACAGCCAACAGAGTCATTCTAATCCTTCGCTCCTCCTCATCTTGATCAGCATACTTTTCCTTAATCTTCTTCAGTTTTCCTTTCTGTCCACGGCTAGTTTTTCCTCCACCTGGCTTTGAACCTTTGACGGAATTGTCTGGCTGGCTTACAGGGTCATGATTTTCTTCTCTTTCTTTTTCAATTTCAGCAGGTTCACCAACAGCACCATCTTTCTGACCTTTCTTGAGCTTTCTTCTTTCAGCTTTTGAGACATAGGGTTTATCTCTCTGCCCTGCCTTCATCCCTTCATGGTCATATTTCTCCTCTATTTCCTCCTGAGATGCTTGAAGCCCATAATACTTAGAAGATGCAGTAGCAGTCCCAATTCCAAGAGCTCTATCAATTAGATCCTCCAAATCTGGTGTAACCGCAGCAAAAGTTTTGCTGGAAGAATCTAGTTCTTTATCGTTGTGAATTTGATTCGAAGTGGCAGTTTTATCAGATGAGTCATGCTTGACATTTGCATCAGAAACATTCTCATCCATTGATCTTTCTGTGGACAAATCCATTACGTTTGATGAGTCTAATGTGGCCTTTTCACCTGACACATCCTTATCGGAATCAGAACCGTAGTCAGATATTTCATTGAAAGGTTCACTTTGCTCAATCTCATCTGTTCCTTCCTCTTCTCCTCTTACCCTCCTTTCATTCAGATGAGATCCCAAAGAACTCTCATCCAAGCGAAATAAAATCCCAAAACCCATAATGAGAGGAGCTGGTGGAAGAAAATTCTTTCTACCCCGAATCATGAAACTTCCAACTGTAAGATATTCCCCTGTGGGAGCTGTTTTACTGACCTGGTGAGGGTACACCCACCAAGCACTAGTCACAATCTTCGAGTCCCAAGCGTTGCTGTGGCAGACCTACATAACAATGGAGATGATGTTTTTACATATCTCATGCTGCAAAAGATATCACACATATGGAGAAAACATTGCAACTTACTGTAAAAGATCCAGCTTGGTTCAAAGTTAGAGGCGGTACAGGGTTGTCAGGCTTGTGATTCTTGATCACAGTACTAGAAGCTCCATGAAGTTCTGCATGGACATACCTATTTAACAGTAACTTATATAAGTGAAAACATTGCTTTTAAATGTTGACCCCAAAGATAAATTGAGTGAAGGAAATGCAGACAAAAATCTTCAAGTACTGAACCTCACAATAGAACATATTTTTTTAAGATCTCAGAAATTAGAGACGCGGCTCCAAAATGTTGAAAGAATGAGATTCAGGTAAATCATTTTAAATTGAAATTTTTTTCTTGTAAATTGCAGGCTAAAGCAATCATATGATACAAGAAAGCAATCCAGCTCCATCAAGTCGACAAATGAAATCATGACAAACACCAATATATATATATAGAAAGAGCAGAGAAGTGTAGATGAGGGGAAATTCATCAAGTTAGAGAGGGATATAAAACCAAAGATTATCTTGAACGAAAGAAGACAAATGAGAATATTGACATATATTAGTGAAAATTTTACTTACAAATCTCCTTTGGACATATAACGTTTGACTATCATCTCATTTTGTTGAGCATCTCGCCCACTGACAATCAGATAATTCTCGCTGCTGACAAACCAATTGAATTTTTCAAACCAGTGAACCTTACGCATGTGTGAAATTGTGGCAACTGCTTTTTCCTGCAAAAGGGTATATGGAAAATACCTTGCAGCTTAGAAAGATAACAATATATACTTACAAATAGAGCAGTTACATATAAACAATTAATTAGAAAAATTAGCTATAACATGGTTATTCATTTTCACGCTACACTTTTGTTACTTTTAGCATACCCCAAATATGAGATGATTAGTTTTCTCTAATTATAGAATTTCTCATTTCTTCATCAGTTTTTATCTTATTCCCAGTTATCTACTTTTATAATTAGATATATGACAGATCAACTTGATCATAATAAATATGTAATTTTGTTGCAAGAAAGAAATAAAACCCAGGACTTTCCAATATCTAAATGGTATGTTTTTAGATATCCAGACAAAAAAACTTGACTGAGAATGCAAGCACAGCTTGCGACATGTTTCTGCGAGCATATTAAACGTCAACAGGGGCAACATCATTTTTTTTAAATTCCCTCAATCAGTAATCAATATCAGATGAGAAATATTTGAATCATTGTGATGCCAAAAGTACACTTATGAAAGTCTCAGTATTGATGACTAAGAGGATCCACCTAGTTAAAAAGAGATAGATAAGAAATAAACATCATTAGGAAAAACTACAAGTTGTACACGACTTTATAAAAGTTTCAGCTACCTGTGAAAGTTGCTGGCGCGTCTTTTTCTCGGCAGCTTTGAAAGCTTTCTCATGCGCTGTAATGGTTTTCTCCTGCTTGCTTTCTTGCCTCTTTTTCATTTCATAATACCTACGAGCATTGGCATGTGCAGAGAGCGCAAGATCAACTTCGACCTAAAAAGACAATGCGGACAGTGGATGCAGAGAATTAATGCTTATGTTTCTTTTCACCTTTTCTTTTTTTTGAAGAAAAATTTAGTTCCAAAGGATAAAACATTATGGTCGTGAGTCGTGACAGTTATATGTGCCATAGATAAGTAATTTGTTAACGTGATGTTTGTCAAAACACGGAAAAATTGGTCGTAGACATCAAAATAATTCAAATGAACGCACTTAATATCTTATTATTAGAGCCTTCAAAAAAAATATCTTATTATTAGAGGATGTTTGACTACACGTCCTAAGGATTTCTTTAGATACACCGCATAAGTCGGAAAAAGCATCAATAACAAAAATTAATTTCATGATATACCTTGTCCGCTGGTTGAGTTTTCTCATCATCATCCATCTCATCAAGATTGTTGCTCAGGAGCAGTGTCATACAATTTCTTTCAAGATGAAGCTTGTCAATGAGGCCAGCCACAGGATTTCCAGATTTCTTCTCCTCTTTAACCATACGAGCCAGATCAACCCAGCTCATACCATTTGCAAGAGCTACACGGACTGCTAAGATGGCAGCATCTACATCTTCTAAGTTGTATTCAATCAGTGCTGCCATATTGATACTCTGCTCAACTTCTCTCCTTAGTATATGAACACGATTTTCCTGTAAAATTAAATAAAGCCTTTAACACTGGAGGTAGTATTCCACACTATACGAGTCAACCTTGCAAGAAACTGCCAGTAAAATGAGCAAGAAGGTAATGAAGACAGCAAAGATGCAACAAAATCTTAGATTGAGGATGTCATCCCTAGTAACCCACCCATACCAGCCATGCTGTCATCCCTAGTAATATTAGCCAGAGACCTTAACAAGATACTAAGTATTAAAACAATATCCCGCTTTAGTATTCTTCGAGGCATTTTACATATTACAAATTCTGAGTAATGTATAGAAAAATCAAAGATTCTTATGCTCCATAGAAAATTTTCAAACTGATGAACCTGGTCGGTTTTGATTTTTTCAAGTTTCTGCATGGCCGAATTTTCCTTAGACTTCTGTTGTTGGTCAGAACGTTGGCTTTCAATTTTACTGTAGAATTCATCCAGTGCTGCATCAAATGTTTCAAACTCTATAGAATCTCTTGATTTGAACTGGTTCAGCAACAGAGGGCAAAATTCATCATAGAGCTGCAAAACAAGAAAACCAAAATCCAAAAAATAAAAATCAAAAGGAATATATATCAGCATTTCTTAGAAGACAAAATAAATAAAATAACCTGGTTAGAAATTTCTTTTCCAGATACAGCATCATTCTTTTTTCCTGTAATCTTTTGCTGCATCAGGATGTATCCCTCTGGAACTTTCTCACCACAGATAACATCCATTAGCCAGTCCTCAAACCTAATTACTGCCTCTGTCAGAACCTGGGAGGTATTATCGTCCAGTTTAAAGTCCTTGCCAACTTTTGTACTTGGTAATAAGTTGGCATCTAAAATAATGTGTTCTGACAATGCCGGGCCATAACCCAATGCTTCCCCAAGGACAGCCTTCAGAGTTGCCTGTTTGGCACGGGCATTATCACTTTTCTTCGACTCACTAGGATTCATGTTCTTCTTGCTTCCATGATTTACTATGACAGGCTCTGAAGTACCATTTCCCTGTTCAGTATTATTTAGTTGCTCATCTATATTGCCTTCCACTGGAGATTGTAGTGCTGCCATCATCTTGTCTTTAGTTGTACGCTCAAATACTCGAGATTGTTCAACTGGATATTGATGACGTGACATGATTGCAAATCCCTTATTGTCGTCCCTGTTCTTAGGTAGAAATATTAGTATCACGACTATTAACATCCTTATGTCACAAGCCAAAAATAAATGAATTACTCAATGAGGCACATAAAAATTAGAGTCACCAACCTGTGCGACCGCAGCAGAGTCAAGACAATGTACTCATAATCTGTAAGAATGATATTCCCTTGGGCATACAGCTCTAAGATGACATAGTGTGCATTAACACCCAATCCAAATTGAAAGACAATAATCTGTGTTTACACAAAACTTCAATTTTTTTATATCCTTCTAAACAATGTCTGTTTTCACCGAAAAAATCTTAAAAGGTCAACAAAGCATACCCGGTCATATCCAAGTTGGCGCACATCCTCAAGCCTTCTGGTTCTTATGTGTTTCCTTATCTTCAATGTAAACCCTGACGGGGTATTGCTTTTGTCCCTGTAAGAGAGATGACATTCCCATATTTAGTACACTAAATAAATTACAAGTTTTTCGTTGGCCTGTAAATTAGTGCAGAACAAAATGGTGTAGCTCAACTGTTCAACATGATTATATACAAACATTGACCATAAATATACATAAAAATGGTGATAATGCCACTTTTTGCTTCCTCAATATTTCATCTTATCGATGTTAAACATTCAAAGCCTTTCTGTATGCATAAGCAATCTAATGAAAAATTGATTTTCGATTCCCTTCAAATTACATTATTGGAATATGATAGAATAGCGCACTGAAAAATGTAGGAATATGATAGAATATTACCGCATATAGACTGTTGTATGCAATCTGACACCACTTTCCATCAACAGAAGAACCTTCTCACTCTCCCCAGACTCAGTCACTCCACTGCTACTCATCAGCTTAAACACGTACGTCTGCAATGCGTTTTTACACCAAAATGAACTCACACAAGAATTTCCCAAAACAATACAAGTTCCCAAAACACTACAAGTTCCAATAATGCAACACATTTACTTGTTAGAAAAAACATAGCATGAGACAGCTCTAACCACGAAAATAAATAAATATATGTCTCCAAGTCAAAGAAAAACAAAAACAAGACAAGTAATTGAAAAGTAATAATGAGCAATCAGCATCAATTGTATGATGATTATAGTTAAAATTAAGAATCTGCAATATACCTTTGGAGAGAGATCGTAAACATTGGAGCAACGCATACCGATTAAGCGGCGGAGGCACTTCACCTCCGCCGCCACATCAGCTGTGTTCATCCGCACCTTCACCATCTTAATTTATTTTTGGTGCTTGTGATAATCTAGACAACAATTAATCAAAAAAAACAGGGGAGGGGGTTTTCGTATTTGGTCTGTTCTGATATATTAGGGTGTAAATGTATTATATGATAGAATGAAATTATTTCAATTTGAGTTAAAGTATATATGTATTGGCGTATGTGTATGTATATCAGAACTGGAAACTAAGACGATACAAAGATGGAAGACGGGTGGATTTTTTTATTTTTTTCGACATAATTTAGCCCATTGTATTAGATAAACATGATTATGTTTTGGGCTTCTTTTCGGGCCTATAGATCTCCCAATGGCCCACAAATAATGTTTTGATAAAGCCCAATACCACCACATTTCATTTGTCGTCTACTAATACTGTATATATAGTCGTGGTTTATTTAACAAATTTTATTATTTTCGTATTAAAAAAAATAAAATAAAATTACCACGACCGACAAAATAAAATTGGGTCAACTCCAAAACAATTTTATCAAAGACTGATAAGGATATTTAATTTTGATTAGTTGACCTCATGTATTACCGGTTGTCTATAATTAATTGGTGTCAGAAAAAATGCAAACTATATATTTATGGTCCATTTATCACACGCAAACATCCACAATATTCGATTGTAGACTGTAAATACCTAAACTTCCCCCATGTGAACAATTGTTAAGTAAGACCCAGGCTAACAGCATGTATTTCAGAAATATTAATGTAAATAGAAGCATCTATAATGCAAGTTGATATTGTAAAGTCTACCTTAGTATGTCAAAATCCAATTAGGTTATCCTCCAAATTATATAACACAACTTTAATTTCTCAAAACATTAATAGAGGAATTATAAACAGAATTTTGAAATCTAGTTAATTATTGTAAGTCTTGTTTGTAAATTCAAAGATTTTGTGTGTATATATATAATGTGCATGCGACTTTGAACAGCTAACGAGCTGCTAAAGCCGTCCTAGGATTGATGCGTTGACCTTGAAGAAAATCAGTCCAACCACCACTTATTCATTGTTAGGTCTACCAAGATTTTTTTATTTATTTTCTCTTCTATTCTTCTTCTGATCTTCCTAGCTAGTTGAAATATATATATTATTTTATAATGGGTTAATTACTTATGTGGAATTATTACTATAGATATTATGCGCGTTGTGTGTGACTGACTATTTTGCATTTGGACCCTCAATATATATGATTTGCTACTTAATTCTTTGAAATACTCCGTGTATATAGATAGTACTTCATTTCACATAAAAAGTAATTTATGATCTAGTTGCATGTCCTAATACCAAAAGTCTTTTCTAATACTCCGATTTTATTAATTAATTCAATTAATTATGCTTATCATCGATTAAGTCACACAAATAATCAAGTATTTTTGTTTTCTGTTCAATTTTAATTTAGAAAACAATAAATAAATAAATGCTTGGAAGGCAGCTAGATATATATGTTAATTAGTAGTGGATGGAGTTGAAATATATGCGTGCATATTATATAATTGAAGCATGTTTGTTTTGTTGACGAATAAACAATACACGTATATATGGTCAACTGGTGTCTTTGACTTTGTAGGCTTGCATAGGTTTTGAAACCTATATACTAATAAGAGATAAAGCTCACAATTTGAATTAGTCACAACAGAACAAATACTATATTAATTTTGTATTGGATAGTGCTAATTAATTAATCATTTGATTAATTAAAAGAAACAGGAGCTGACCCCTCGACCCCAACTTTTCTTACTCTTATTTGAGCTTTAAATTATTATATATTATTAATAGTAACTCAATAGAAAAGACAAATAATGGATACATCTTAACTTAAAATTAATATACTTTCTCTAGAATTTAAAGGGTTAAATAATTGGTTTAAAAGAGACCAAATGCAATTATGAATCAGCTAAACATTTTAATTGTTGGGGCTTTTGGCAACCGATTGTCTCACACGTGAAGAAAGTTAATTGCTTTTCTAATTGTTGAGTTCATACTTGCAACATGTTAATTAATTACCTTATATTATTGTAAATTATTAATTATTCCACATTTTTCACAGTTTATGATCGATCGATGAGACATAAAAGATAAAATGGGACAATCAATATTATTATTGTTTGTTTATAAGTTGCAATCGACAATAATCTTTTTCTATAACTTTTTTGTACCTTAATGAATTTCCTTTTAGGATGATATATTCCCCCCGAAAGGGCTTCTCTTCTAATAATAATTATCATTAGTCAGTGTGTGCTGATTGCTGTGTGTGGGGTAATAATTTAATTTGTCCTGTACAATATATAACATGAAATAAACCAATGAAATCCTCGATCAGCTTATAATTAAGTAAAATGAAATTACAACCAATGAAATACTTAATAATATAATTCCAATCGATCTCAAATCAATGCGTAATATCGCACAAGTTGACAAATAATGAATAATGCTATAAAACCAATTATCACCAAACCCCATAAGAATAAAACCAATTTTCCAACATATGTATGTATAATTAAAAGAAACATTACATCAACTATTTGCAGTCTCGCACTAGGGGGCCAAAAATAATATATTCTTGATTACTTCAACTAACTAGTAATTACTTAATTGTTAAATCACATGATTAACATTAAAGAAAAATGTCAAATTATGGCAAATTTATCAATGAAATGTAGCTTTCCAAGGTTTTGACTGAAAATGCCAAGCTGCCATTGAATGTAGACACGAACCTCCCTCAATTTTCAATCTTCAAATTCTCCCCACCCACTAACATATCTATTAGTAATTCATTCAATATATTCATTTCAATTTTAGTTATACCCTTGTTACATATCTATATATTAACATCAACCTAGTCATCATTTTTTTTGCTAAACATGGACTTACATATATATAATTAATGGGAGCCATTGATATATACAGCGGCGGAACTAGTCAAATCCCAATTATAACGACGAAGGGGATTCGTATTTGTACAAATAGTACTTTATGTAGGATATATATATATATATTTATCCAGAGATATATCTACAGATGCAGATCAATAATATACGATCAACTCGATCTGAATTAACTGGCAAAAGAAAGAGGCAAGAGTGAGGGAACACAATTAAATCTTAATCGCCAAATTAGTTACATTTGATTAATTAATTAATTAGTTAATTAGGAAGCGTGCGTTCACAAAGGGTTGAGACAATATAATGTTGTTTTGCTCTTTTTATATGTGTTTCACACATAGCTAATTAATAGCTAATTAGTAATAATTAAGCAAAGAAGATGAGTCCCATTACCATCGATCATCATATTAAATTGCTTTATTTGCGGTGTAGCTTCTACACTAATTAACACGAGTACATATATATAAATATATATATATATACATGCACGTGACAATATTATATATAGTTACCCATTAAAAGAAGAGCCAATATAATTATATATGTATGTATGATGTCTTGTTACGACGTTGTACACACAGTTTTCATTTTTCCTTTTCCTAATATATAGAAATAGTTTGGTAAGTATACACAAAGGTATGGATGACTGTTTACAAATAGTTACTTGAATGTATAATTAATTAATGGCGTATTTATCCTTTGACCTACTAGCTATATATATATATCGAGATTTGGATATATATGTACACCAATCCAGCAACTAGAAATTTCCAAGCCTAACTTAGAATTAATTATTATAAGTACTTCGTTAATTATGATCGAAATACATTATATATACATATACATACATGCTTTTTGAGGGGTCAAAAATAAAAATATAAATATGGTAAGATTCAGTACATTAACAGCCGATGTTTGGGTCAAAGACGCCTCCTACAAGTTGTGAATATTTGCTAATTGCTATATATATTTTTATATTCATATTTATATATCAAACATATCCTAATAATTAATATAAGACTAGATTGTAGATTTAAAACCAGTTGCCAGTTAATTTCAAAACAGTTTATACAGTTCCTCAAGCACAAGCACGAAATGTAGTACTATTTATACAAGAATAATTGAAATTGTCTTTTTTTTTTTTTTTAACTATTTTAACTTGTTGTATTCCATATATATATATATATATATGTGTGTGTGTGTGTGTGTGTGTGTGTGTGTGTGTGTGAAATGTGAAAGCCCAAATTTCCAGAAAAGACCATGATACCAACTAATTTGGTCTACCAAAATTACTATTTGTACCATTTACGTACATTTATTTTGCTCTCACTTATTTAATAATAATAATAGAAAAGTGTAAATGAATTGAGCATAATAATTATATTCTTTTATTTAATTGCCAAAAAAAATAAAAAATAAAATGTAACGTGCAGTAGGAGTTTTGGTCTTGTAAGAAACAGGTACGTGTCGATGCTTACTTTTGCCTCTAGTTCCGATATCCAGTTTGCTTTTGGGGAGTAATAAATCAAAGCATTTCTTTGGTGGAGTGGATCCTTCTACAAACTCTCTCTT